AATTAATTGTTTATGCAAAGCAGTCCCGCAAACTGCCAAAGCGTCGCCTTTATCAACGCTAGCGGTGCTGGCGGCGCCCATATCCAACTTCGAAGCTATGTAAACTTCAACGAAACCACGATAAATCGAGTTGACGACGCGGCAGACATTTTCCTCCTTGGACGCGGTTTCTCGAGAAATGCATTTGCTCGTCTGAGAAATTGTGGGCCAATGAACCAAGAGGTAACTACAGACCAATACTAAAACTACCAACGCAAACAAAATCGTAATATATCGTAATAAACCGTAATAAATCGTAATAAATCGTAATAAATCGTAATAAATCGTAATAAATCGTAATAAATCGTAATAAATCGTAATAAATCGTAATAAATCTTAATAAATCGTAATAAATCGTAATAAATCGTAATAAATCGTAATAAATCGTAATAAATCGTAATAAATCGTAATAAATCGTAATAAATCGTAATAAATCGTAATAAATCGTAACAAATCGTAATAAATCGTAATACGAGTAAATCGTAATAAATCGTAATAAATCGTAATAAATCGTAATAAATAGTAATAAATCGTAATGAATCGTAATATATCGTAATAAATCGTAATAAATCGTAATAAATCGTAATAAATCGTAATAAATCGTAATAAATCGTAATAAATCGTAACAAATCGTAATAAATCGTAATACGAGTAAATCGTAATAAATCGTAATAAATCGTAATAAATCGTAATAAATCGTAATAAATCGTAATAAATCGTAATAAATCGTAATAAATCGTAATAAATCGTAACAAATCGTAATAAATCGTAATACGAGTAAATCGTAATAAATCGTAATAAATCGTAATAAATCGTAATAAATAGTAATAAATCGTAATGAATCGTAATATATCGTAATAAATCGTAATAAATCGTAATAAATCGTAATAAATCTTAATAAATCGTAATAAATCGTAATAAATCGTAATAAATCGTAATAAATAGTAATAAATCGTAATAAATCATAATAAATCGTAATAAATCGTAATAAATCGTGATAAATCGTAATAAATCGAGTTGACGACGCGACAGACATTTTCCTCCTTGGACGCGGTTTCTCGAGAAATGCATTTGCTCGTCTGAGAAATTGTGGGCCAATGAACCAGGAGGTAACTACAGACCAATACTAAAACTACCAACGCAAACAAAATCGTAATAAATCGTAATATATCGTAATAAACCGTAATAAATCGTAATAAATCGTAATAAATCGTAATAAATCGTAATAAATCGTAATAAATCGTAATAAATCGTAATAAATCGTAATAAATCGTAATAAATCGTAATAAATCGTAATAAATCGTAATAAATCGTAACAAATCGTAATAAATCGTAATACGAGTAAATCGTAATAAATCGTAATAAATCGTAATAAATCGTAATATATCGTAATAAATCGTAATAAACCGTAATAAATCGTAATAAATCGTAATAAATCGTAATAAATAGTAATAAATCGTAATAAATCATAATAAATCGTAATAAATCGTAATAAATCGTGATAAATCGTAATAAATCGAGTTGACGACGCGACAGACATTTTCCTCCTTGGACGCGGTTTCTCGAGAAATGCATTTGCTCGTCTGAGAAATTGTGGGCCAATGAACCAAGAGGTAACTACAACAGACCAATACTAAAACTACCAACGTAAATAAAATCGTAATAAATCGTAATATATCGTAATAAATCGTAATAAATCGTAATAAATCGTAATAAATCGTAATAAATCGTAATAAATAGTAATAAATCGTAATAAATCGTAATGAATCGTAATAAATCGTTATAATTCGTAATAAATCGTAATAAATCGTAATAAATCGTAATAAATCGTAATAAATCGTAATAAATCGTTATAATTCGTAATAAATCGTAATAAATCGTAATAAATCGTAATAAATCGTAATAAATCGTAATAAATCGTAATAAATCGTAATAAATCGTAATAAATCGTAATAAATCGTAATAAATAGTAATACATCGTAATAAATCGTAATAAATCGTAATAAATCGTAATGAATCGTAATAAATCGTAATAAATCATAATAAATCGTAATGAATCGTAATAAATCGTTATAATTCGTAATAAATCGTGATAAATCGTTATAATTCGTAATAAATCGTAATACATCGTAATAAATCGTAATAAATAGTAATAAATCGTAATAAATCATAATAAATCGTAATAAATCGTAATAAATCGTGATAAATCGTAATAAATCGTAATAAATCGTAATAAATCGTAATAAATCGTAATAAATCGTAATAAATCGTAACAAATCATGGTGTGAGTGAGCAGATACCGGTTGGAACTGTAAATGTTTCACCTCTCGTTTGATAGCCTAGTCACAACTGAAGGCTGACGATTCTGGCGGTATAGTAGATGTGGACTACTCACAATTATACTCGTACAACTGAACATGCTGTGTCAGTACGACTTCAGATAGCCAACCATGGGTAACTGTTTCGTTTTTTTTGGTAACTCATCAGCAACAACGAATGAAAGCATAGCATTCTGGTAATAAATAGCGCTTTGTGCTGAATTATTTCGACGAAAGCACCATGCTTCGATGGTACATTTGCCTTGGTGGGGGAATGACGGTTGATCCTCTTCTCATCTAGGATCTTTGCCTATTCTATGTGGCAAAAATTTGTTTTTTTGTTTCAGCGCTCTTAGTCATATAACGCAGCTAAATATTATAATGCATTAGACATCAATATTATGAATACCTTAAATCTAATAAATTTAAGTCTCTATTATTTTGTTTAATATAAATTATAAATTGACGCAACCGATAAGGGGAGTTTTGAAATATTATTAGATAAATCAGCTGTTGTCCTACCGCGATAGATACGCCTGAAAAATACCGCACAAACGATACTACCTTATTTTCTTGATGTGCATAGATTCAAAAGTAATTGTTATCGTATTCATGTCTCAATTCAAATCTGTAGAATATAAAAAACGATTCTGAAATACAAGATATATTAGGTACGTAACATAGAATTTTGGAGAGAAATTTCATATATCTGCCGTTGACTTTTATACAATATCCGACATTTTTAAAGTTCAAAAGCTGTTCGCATCAAAGGAAATTGGCCTTAGATGTTATATCGACCGGAATATCGGATCTTTGAGAGTAACAAGTTGGGAATTATAAAACTATTATGCTCATCTTTTCGCTTGACAGAGCTTAATTTCAGACAAAGCCGTCCGAAAATAGCCCATAAAATATTTCTTGGCCAGTGGTCCGTTCGTTTCATGTCATCATCAATAATATTCCAAAGTCCAGTGGCAGCACGGTTTGGGTTATGATCTCACATCTAATTCATTATGGATGAAAACACTTTGCAGTGTAATAGTGGCCGAGCTAGTACTTAGTAAAAACATGAACAGAATAAAAATCGGTTAAGCTTCATTTGTTGATGTTTCAAAGACTCCTGATTTTGGAAAAATTGTTATAGGGGTTGAAGCTTGGGGGTTGGGGGTTGTAGGAGGTCACTCATCCCTTATCTTTGATACCTCCAACGATGGCGTAGGATGTATAGAGTCAATCTACTTGACGTCATTTTTTTATTTCAATTTAATAGTATCGGAGAAACAAATGAGTCCGTTTCATATTTTGAGAGTCAAATGCCAAATTTCGCCATAAAGACGCCGTACCCCGTCATTGCTTGCAAAATGATTCTTTCATAAACCTTAAATAAACACCGTCATCAGCGAATTTAGACCCAATTCCTTTCAATTTAAAAGCCATGGATCTGCCGTTAAATTTGGTACAGTGTAATAAACGGAATTAATGACCTTTCGTCTATAAATATTTTTAGATAACCGTTTTTTTGTAATTAAACGCGAATGATCGGACGATTACGTCATATTTGATGGATGATGGTGAGAAGCTTTAGGTATTGGAGATGATCTTGTTTCGTTACTAAAGACTGCTAAAACCAATGTATTCTATTTTTAGGAGTCATATATTATCCAAAGTATACTTAATAGCTTTTGGGAGGTTCAGATGAACATATGTCTATTTTCTTTTTGAAGAGGCGGCATACTTGTATTCTGTTTTGGTTATAATTAACATCGCAACGTTGATGAGACTATTTACACTTTCACGCATTGAGGTGCGGAAGCGTTGGAATTTTGGAATTGCAAAAATTCAGTGGTGGCGCGTCACTCAGCCATCAAGGACAGACCTTTACTTTTTGAAAAAATATGTATATGTATGTACTTTCAAGTACAAATAATACATAGTTCATGTATGTCGAATTTAGTAAATTGAATAACAATAGAGAGCTTACGTTTTATTATAAAATTAAGCATAAATGCACATACATATGTACCAAAATAATCAAGTATTATTAATAAAAATCATTAATGAATTTATCAAATTATGAAGCTTGGAAATATTCATCATATGTTTTGAAAATTTATACAGGGCGATAGAGCAAAGGCTAAAAAATTTGTTGTTGTTTTTTGACGTTTTGGTATACCGTTTTGCACCCTATTTTTTCAAATTTCAATATTTAAGAAAAATGTAAAAATTAACTATAATTTTATGCTAAAATATATTTAAAATAATCATTAGAACTGAAAGATACTAATAGCCTATTTATGTAATTTCTTGCAAACCATTAGTAACAAGCGCCAGGACGACGTGTATGTACATACCTGTAAAAATACGTACCTCATTAATTCACTAATGCGCATACAATTTCAAAACTTCTGATGTATTTCAAACAGACCTTAGGCTATATTTTGGAGAAAAAAAATCGAAAATGAAAAATGCAAAGTTGCCCAAATATTGGTTTGAAATTCTTACTTCCAGTTTAGCACCTAAAGTTTCTCATGAATTTCAAATTTGCTTCTATGACACTTTTCAGTTCGAAAAAATTCTTAGAAAAATTCCTTGTCTGCTTTATGGGAAATCCACGTATTTAACATTTTGACGTAATTTTTTCAGAGATCTCCGCTTCAACAAAATTCGAGAAATCCAACCAGGCACATTCAAGAACCACCGAAGCTTGATATCGCTGCTCCTGAACAACAATCTGCTGACGACACTGAAAGACGGCACTTTCGACGGGCTCGCGCATCTCCAGAATCTCTTCCTCTACAAAAATAGGATCAAACATTTGGACGCGAATGTTTTTCGCGGACTCAAACGGTTGGAGAAGCTGTAAGTATTCGTTCGACGCATAGGCGTGCTCGGGACAAAATAAGGTTAAGGGGCAGATAATGTAAAGATAAAGATAAGGTAAAAGTACAAACACCTCCCTGAGCTGTGAATTTTAGTCGGATTTTCAATTCATTAAAAGTCGTACACTTCAAGGACTCCCATGCCTTATCACAATCCCGGTACCTCCGTTTACCAGGCTTTGCCTTCTTAATAATAATATCATTTTTTACGAAAATGAGATATTATGTTTTTTGGATGTCTGTTGGTCTATCCGCTAATAAATTTGGACCGCCTATAATTTGAAAAGTACCGCTCAGTTTCCGTTAAAATTTCCACACAGTGCTACTATTATGCCAAGGGCAAAAAGCTTTGTAGTTTTTGAAAATTAGTGCAGTGGCGGCGAAGAAAAAAGGCCAAAATAAACAAATAATAAGAAGTGTTCAAATTATAGGCCCATTCAAGTGAATCGAATTGACCTTAGAATAACCTTTAAGCTCATCGTCAAGGTCTTGGTCAAGGACATATCGAAACTTAAAATTTTCGCATGTTTCCGAGGTCGAAAATATGGGGTCGTATTTAAGAAAATCGGGTTGTTCCAGAAATGACCTTAAAGGTCACCACCAGTCATGTTCAAGGCCATCCAAACTCAAAATGTTCTCATCTTCCATCTTATAGGGCCTTAGGTATATTGAATGACCTTGGTCAATGTCATAGTCGGACTTGAGAATTTTCCTTCTTCTGATTTCCGAAGTGCGTGTTATTAAAGCTCAAGCTATGACCTTCCGTTCAAGTAAAACGGATTGACTTTAGAATAACATTTAAGGTCATCGTCAAGGTCTTGCTGAAGGACATAGCCAAACTTAAAATTTTCGCCTGTTTCGATTTGCGAGGCCTGTTTCTTTAAGAAAATTGGTTTGACCCAGAAATGACCTTCAACGTCATAGTCAAGGACATCGGCATTTAAAATGATTTCTTTTACTTTATAGCGCCTACAGTATAGGTTTCCATTAGAGGAAGTCGCTTTAACCTTGAATTACATTTAAGGTCAAGGTCATTTCCAAACCTGAAAATGTCCCTTTTTCGATTTTTGAGGTCAAAAGTGTAGGGTGCCATTGAAGAATCGATTTCACCTTGATATGACTTCCCAATGTCAAGGCATATCCATACTTGGAATTTTCAGTTTTTTCGATTACCTGGGTTAAAAGTAAAGGGTGCCATTTAGGAAAAACCATTTGAACTTCAAATGACCTTATCAAGGTCGCGATTGGATAGCTTTAATTAAAATGAAATCCAACAACCTTTTCTTTGATCATTTCTTTGTCCGGTCAGCATTTTTTGTTATGTGGGAACTTTTTGAATACCCTGTACAGAAGTTAACATACATAATCTGCTCCAAATGCTGAGAAGATATCTATACTTCATTTTTTCCAGTATGCCACTCCAATGGTAATGGAACAGTGCGAATGACGGATCAATCAGAAAAAACAAACTTCGCTTCAGTTTGCAAATAAACGGCCAGTGACTTTGAAAGCAAACCGATGTTCTTCAGCTGGCCCAATTAAAAATATTTAGGTTTGCTGTCGTCTGTGTACATTTTCAAGTTGCCATGCAGTTAATTTTAGCATCACAGGATTGTGAAGGATCGCTTTACGAGTTTGTATTCCAAATTAACAATATTGATTCAGACATTCTGCAAGAACTCTGGTTGCAGGTGTCGAACGTGCCAAAATCCCGTAATGCTTCTTTTTACTATTTTGATAACTTACCAGTAATTTAAATATTTCTTTATTAAAGATAGAATACCGATTCCAAGGCCACACCCTTTTCGGCAAATTTTATAATTTGTTGATCTATTGACCTCAAAACTACCTAATCCTGAAAGTATGAATTCAAACATATTATATCTTTCTTTCTTAGTGATTGAGTATTGTGTTGAAGTCTTTTGGTTACTAATGCCATAATTATCTCAGAAACTTCTCCTTCATTGGTCCCTCGTAGACTCTTTTACCCCCAACATTATTTTGGAAAATAATACGGTTCTGAGGTGTACCCATAGGCAACCAGTGATGTTCTTTGTGTAGGTTTGGCTGCGGAACTTTTCTTGAAATTTGTGTGGGTGATCATTTCAGGTTGAAGCATTGATTTTCAGGTTTTGGTATATTTGGCCTCAATCACCAGCTTATTGGGTAGCACCCTTTCTTGTATCTCCCTTACGTTCAGTTGTTTTGGTTTGGGTGCTACCCCCTCCATTTATTTGGGATTTTAACCTCTTCAGCGTAGGAAGGCACTGAGAGAAAACACCATTTGCATTCCTCCAGCTTCGTAGCTGACTTCAAGCTGTTTTGTAGAAGACTTTAAAAAAAATGGTGAAGCTGTGATCTGTAGACAGAACTTGACATCTAAAATGTGCAGATTTGCCAAGGTTTCTTGTACAATATCACAACACACAGAAAGTTTCGTATTACCAATATCTACCTAGCTTCCCCTTGGAGATATTTCTACGTACGCACATGGTAACGATTCACCAAAATTGCCTCCAATTTTACCACTGAAACCAAGTAAACCGTAAAAAATATGTTTTATCGAGATTTTACGAAAGTTCTTTGAGAAATTCGGCATCAGTTTCAAACAAATGCCATATAGTATGAATATCTTTAAGGCCAATTATTCAGTATGAGTGGCTTATACGGTCTTATGCTAATTATTATAATTTATTGCCTTTCAAAACAAGTTAGCTTGATTAAAAGTCACTTGTAACGTGTTCGTTTTATTTCTAGATATCTGCATAATAATGAGCTGGAACACATCGAGCCTGAGACGTTTTCTAATTTGCCATCGCTGGACAGACTGTAAGATCTAGAATAAGATATTTTGAATTGAATATATATTTATATACAGAGTGTCACAGAAAATATGGTTAATGCTTGTATGTACTGTGGCAAGTTCCTTTGCAGGAAATTGTCCTGGAAAATGAAATAAACACTCAAATCATAGTTTTCGAGCTAAAGCCAAGATTTACAATTTTTACAATTTTTACAATTTGTTCGGTTTTTACGATTTTTATGGTTTTTACGATTTTTATGGTTTTTACGACTTTTAAGATTTTTAGGATTTATACGATTTTTATGGTTTTTACGATTTTTACGTTTTTTACGATTTTTACGATTTTTACGATTTTTACGATTTTTACGATTTTTACGATTTTTACGATTTTCACGATTTTTACGATTTTTACGATTTTTACGATTTTTACGATTTTTACGATTTTTACGATTTTTACGATTTTTACGATTTTTACGATTTTTACGATTTTTACGATTTTTACGATTTTTACGATTTTTACGATTTTTACGATTTTTACGATTTTTACGATTTTTACGATTTTTACGATTTTTACGATTTTTACGATTTTACGATTTTTACAATTTTTACGATTTTTACGATTTCTACGATTTTTAATATGTTTACGATTTTTAAAATATTTTCGGGTTTTAAAATTTTTACGATTTTTACGAGTTTTACGTTTTGACGATCTTTACAATTTTTATGATTTTCACGGTTTTTACGATTCTTACGATTTAGAAATTTTTATATTTTTCTGATCTATACTAAGTGACATATAAATCCGAACACCCAGCTTAAATGGTTTTATTTTAATAAAAGTTGGTGAATGTATTTATCTTACTGTAAATAACAAGTGAAAAAATTTTCAGCCTTATCAGTTGGACATTCCGGTTTTTATACTGCTTTTTTTTTAATTTACTAACGCTCTAAAAATGAATATTTCAGCCGCAGTAAAGAATCAACGTTGGCGGATTTTGGTTCTTGACATCCTTTACGATCGGTTACGATGCCTAAAGTACGGAGACCTGTACGATTCCGTCAACTTAGTGAGTTTGATAGGGGCCGTATAGTGGGACTTCGGGAAGCTGGACTTTCTTTTCGGGCAATTGCAGTTAGAGTGCAAAGAAGTGTAGACACTGTGGTTAGGTGTTGTCAGGCATGGCTTCGAGAAGGCCGTACGCAAAGAGCAAGGGGCACTGGACGCCGCCATAGAACAACAGACCGTGAAGATCGCCGGCTAACGTTATTGTTTCTCCACTACCAGGTCCATTGCAAATGAATGGTTTGCAGAACACGGAAGACCTATTGGCATGCGAAGTGTTTACTGACGAATGAGAAGTGTTGGCTTGTTTTCATACCGGCCACACTGGGTCCTCCCTTTAACTCGAGAACACCGACGTAATCGCCTTGAGTGGTGCAGACAACGGTCACTCTGGGATCAGGAATGGAACAGTCTTGTCTTTAGTGACGAGTCTCGATTTTGTTTAGGCATGCACGATGGTCGTGCCAGGGCTAGAAGGCGACGTGGTGAAAGGAGGAATCCACAGTTTTTTGTTGAAAGACATGTTCATCACACTGTTGGAGTTATGGTTTGGGGTGCTATAGCTTATGGTTCCAGGTCACCTTTAATCTTCATCAGAGGTAACATGAACGCGCAGCGTTATATCCACGAAGTTCTAGAACCCCATCATTTACCATATCTTGACACCCTGGCAGATCCAACTTTCCAACAAGATAATGCCCGACCTCATGTTGCAAGAGTCACAATAGACTTCTTTCAACATAATGATTTCACATTGTTACCATGGCCACCAAGATCTCCCGACTTATCCCCAATTGAGCACGTGTGGGATATGATGGGTAGGAGATTGCTCAATTTGCAACGTCCTCCTCAGACTCTAGAAGCACTTCGAGAGGAGTTGGTGGTTGCCTGGAATGAGATACCACAGGAGGACATTGACCACCTGATCAGAAGCATGCCTAGGCGCGTTGGAGGATGCGTAGCACATCAGGGTGCATCCACACATTATTAAAGGTCAAAGGGCTTTAAAGCAGTGCAATCATTTTGAAATTTTTATCATTTACTTATTATGCTTCATTAAGTACTTATACAAAATTTTATGAAAATAAAACCATTTAAACTGGGTGTTCGGATTTATATGTCACTTAGTATATTATGACTTGTCCTATCCCCGTTTCCGGCTTGACGTTGACTTCTGGGACACACGTATAATCCTATGTAACCTCATGTTTGTCGGGCCATTGAAACCAACCACATGTATTTAAGATTCGTATCAAAAAAGGATTTCATTGACCAGAGAAGCATGGGAGTTATACGAATATACTCCTGGGCTTCTCTAATGTTACTTGAACCTGTACGATGTTTGCTTTGTGATAGATATTTTACAATGATTCCAGCCACCTGTTCAACAATCGTATCAAGCACATCTCGAAAGGCTCCTTCGAAAATCTTCCAAAGCTGACGCGTCTCAGGGTGGATCACAACGCGTTGGTATGCGATTGCGAAATCGTTTGGTTCGCCAAGATGTTGACGGATAACACCATCCGCGGCTCGGCCAATTGCAAATATCCATCGGAAATGTACGGAAAATCCATCGTCGGAATGGGCCCTAAGGATTTCCATTGCAGTACGTCAACGCAACTAATTTACTTGCAGGGTGTTCATAAACGTTCTGACATCCCCTTGTACGAGGTTCGTTTCAAAAATAGTATGTCCGCATCTTTTTCAGGCACAAGGAATTTTTTATTTGAAAAATGAATTAATTTTTTCAGTTTTTTTTATCATTCTGTACAGCGTGGACGTTTTCTCGAAAATTTTATATTATATATAGATATACCCATGCTATCTAAAAAAGCTAATTACAAAAGTTGTAGTGAACATTATGCTCGTTGCTTGACAAATATTTCTATTTCTACAGGATGACTCATAAGTTTGCGGCGACGTAAACATGCATTTTATTAAATATAAAGTATCTATTACAATTTATTGCTGATTTGGATACATCATTTTAAAATAAGAAATTTGAAAGAATATACTATCGAATTCAATTTTCAAATTATTGATAAATTTGTCAATGTATCAAATAAAAAGCTGAGCTTCGTTAAAATAATTTATAATACCATGTATTACTCCTATCCTATTACTTTTTATTTACTCCTTTTCTTGAATGAAAATAGAAAATAAAACAGGTAAATGACCTTGAAAATTAATATTGAAGGTTATTAAGAGGTCAACTTGCAAATTTCAAATGGTACCGTATTTTATGGACTTCAGTGGGAAAGGACGATAAAGTTTGTCTATGTGACCGAGACATCTAAATTTCTTTGACTTCATGATCAAGGTCGTGGTCGATGTCAAGGTCGTGGCTAAGGTCATGAGCAAATGCATGGTCAATGTGATGGTCAAGTTGAGATCAAAAAGATATGGTTGCATCTAAAATTTTCCGGTTGACTTCTAAATGACCTTGAGATTACGGTAAGGATAGGCGTGTTGACAGTTTTTTTAAGAAGGTCTTAAATAGTGGATTCTATATTTCAAAACGGGTAAAATATGTTGAATAAAAATTTCTTGAATGAAAATATAAAATATGAAATTGAAATGACACTGAAAATTAATATTGAAGGTCATTTATTGGTCAACTTGGAAATTTCAAATGGTCCGTGAACAGTGGGAAATGACGAAAAAGTTTGTCTTTATGTGACCCTCACCTTGGAAATGGTTGACATCTAAATTTCTTTGTGGTCATGATCAAGGTCATTGTCAAGGTCGTGGTCAAGGTCATGATCAAAGTCATGACCCAGCTCATGGTCAAAAAGATAGGACTGCCTTTAAAATTTTCCGGTTGACTTTTAAATGACCTTAAGGTTAAGGTAAGAATAGGCGAGTTGATATTTTTTAAAATCAGTCAATATTTCGCCTTTTGCAGATCCTGACGATTTTAGGGCATAACAAAAAGATTCCTTGTGGTATTCTGATAGTTTAAAGAAGGTTAAAATTCGCTTTTCATTGGAAGAATATTTTCTGAGCTACAGGGTGAGATCGACAACGTTTTGAACGCCCTGTACGATGACAAACGGTGCTGCACGAATCTGTGCATTGTCGCTGTTTTCACAGGTTCTCTAGAGATCGCGGAGGGACCCAGAGATGTCCAAATCTCGTGGGGCGGTACGGCAGTCTTCACCTGCAAAGTCAGGGATCCCTCGGCAGCCATATTCTGGATGAAAGACGAAAAAATGTTGAAACCTGATAACAAGAAGTACAAACTTATGGAGAACGGCACGTTGATGATACAGAACACAATCGAAACTGATGACGGATATTACGAATGTATGGCGAAGAGTTCAGATGAGGAAGTCAAATCTAGACCTGCTAGGATGATCGTACTTGGTCAAGAATATAGTACGCAGGGTTATGGTAAGCATTTGGGTGGACGAAATATAGCAAATATCTTCGTTTGTTTGAAATGTTTCATAGTGAAAACGACGTTCTGTTATCTTTGAGCTTTTTACTTAATTCTAGTTATCTCAATACCAGCTAAACATTGGTAAACTATACTAGATTGTTTCAGAAAAATATTATATTCGTACATTTTTATCAAAATTAATGCGGAATACCATCAAACTGAACTTCAGACATGTGTAGCAATTTTTTTAAAATCATCAGAGTGTTCATTTCCAAATTTTATCTTGCAAGTCTGTCCGCATCCTGACACATCAAAGCTTTTTATTTTTTATCTGTCCACGCGCTAAACTACCACTACAATCTGAACCAACAAGAACACTATTAATCAGAAGTTCCTTCATGGTCTGGTTCATGAAATAAACTGAATCTTCAGTTGTTTCAACAATTTTGGGCCTCTTTGATTTTCATAATATTTTCTCTCCTTCAAAAACGCTGGAGTATTTCTAGATTTCTGCTGTTTCGTGTCAGCGTCAGCGCTCTCCTATTGTGAGGTTATGTTTTCTTGTTGAATCTTTTAGAAGTTTCGAAAACAATATTCTTATAAAGCATAACCTCAAAATAGAGCACTGACACGGAACAGTAGAGATCTAGAAATACCACTGCTTTTCTGAAGGATAGGGAAAACTATGAAAACGTGGACAATTCCCTTTATTTTTAGGAGCTCCAAGACTGGTGTCAGTCCCATCCAGCATTTCAGTGGCGCCGGGAGAAAGACAAGTGACGTTGCGATGTCAAGCTCTGGGCGTTCCACAACCTGCTATAAAATGGGCTAAAAACGGTATCGAACTACCGTCAAGTTACAAGCACCATTACGAATCTGATGGGTCGCTTACCATCAGAGACATCGACGCTGGAGACTCGGGAAGTTACTTGTGCGAAGCTGTAAATGCTAATGGGAGGGTTTCTGCTGACGCTAATATCATCATCAAAGGTGAAGGATAATGACCTCTTGCCTGGAAAATTGCAAAAAACGGAAAACCACATCTATATCGATCTGTGGCGATTCAAAACTGTAATACAACATTGACGTTTCCAAACTTTAATTATTAAAAAAAAAACAGAATATCCTAGGTATTCTTTGTAGCACTTGTTTCCAATACCAGATTTATCCCAAAATCACTTTTATTTTTTCCTGATTTTTTTTTTCACTGCAAAAATAAGTCTAAACTATTTTTGACTAAAAACATTAGTAAAAACCATTTTTGACTTATTTTCGCACCAAAAGCGGTTTTGACAGCCACACAGCCACTACACATGGTGATCAAAAATATCATCTGACCGGAGAAAAAATGTTGTAGGATTTTAAAAAAAAATCATTTCAAGGTCAAATTGATTTTCCTAAATGGTACCCTATGCCTTGACCTTGACTTTGGGGTCATATTAAACTCAAAGCGATTATCTTTAATGGCACCCTCTACTTTTGACCCCGAAACTCCGAAAATAGGAACAAGGGCTCATTCTAAGTTTGGATATGACCTTGAACTTGTAGATCATTAAAGGTCAAAGTAATTTCCTCAAAGGAGAACCTATAACTTGGACCTTAGAAGAGGAAATAAGAGAAAGTTTCAAGTTTGGATGACTTGGACTATGACCTTGAAGATAAGTTGAAGTTCAACCCTATTTTCTTAAATAGGACCCCAAAAGTTTAAATTTGGATATATCCTTGACCTCAGCAGTGACCTTGTAGGTTATTCCAAAGTAAATCCGATTTACTTGAATGGAAGCCTATACTTTCCATCTCGTAAATCAGAAGATGAAACATTTTTCAATATAAATACGACTTTGACCATCAAAGTGACGTATATATTGACTTGGGATTCGGAAATTTGCAGCCTCTGACTCCCGATTCGGGTTCTACGACCCGAAAACCCCCGAGTATTGATTTTTCAGGTGAAACGAGAAAATTATGAAAGAAAATCAACTTGACCTTGAGATGACCTTCAAAGTCAAGCCCATCGGCAAGGACATATCCGAACTTAGAATTGTCCCCTCCATCAATTTCCGGATGCCCATTCAAGAAAATAAATTTGACTTTGACATGGCCTTCAAGATTATCCTCAAGATTACTATTAGATTGCTCAAGTAAAATTCTACAACTCTTGTCTCTTCCCGGACTGTTGTCGCAGGTTATGGATATCCTTTCCGTTGGTGAAAAATTCCGAGTCCTTAACTTTTGGTCATATTAAAGTCAAAGCAATTTTCTTTAATGGCACGCCCTACTTTTGACCCCGGAACTCCAAAAATAGGAACAAGGGCACATTCTAAGTTAGGATATAACCTTGACCTCGTAGGTAATTTAAGGTAAAAGTAATTTCCTCAAACGGGAACCTATCACTTGGACCTTGGAGAAAATTTATGGTTTGGATGACTTGTACTATGACCTTGAAGATAAGTTGAAGGTCAACCTTATTTTCTTATATAGGACCCAAAAAGTTTAAATTTGGATATGCCTTGACCTCAACAGTGACCTTGTAGGTTATTCCAGGGTAAATCTAAATTACTTGAATGGAAGCCTATACTTTCCATCCCAGAAATCAGAAGATGTAACATTGTTCAATATAAATACGACTTTGAACATCAAATTGACGTATATATTGATTTGGGATTCGGAATCTCTGACTCTCGATTCGGGTTCTATGACCCGAGAACACCTGGCTATCGATTTTTCAGGAGAAACGAGAAAATGATGAAAGAAAATCAACTTGACCTTGAGATGACCTTCAAAGCCAAGGCCATGGTCAAGGACATACCCGAATTGTCCCCTCTATCATTTGCGGATGCCCATTTAAGAAAATATATTTGACCTCGACTGTTGTTGCAGATTATGGATTTCATTTCCTTTGTTGAGAAATTCCGAGACCTTAACTTTGGGATCATATTAAAGTCAGAGCGATTTTCTTTAATGGCACCCTCCACTTTTGACCCCTAAAGTTTGGATATAACCTTGACCTCGTAGGTAACTTAAGGTCAAAGTAATTTCCCCAAAGGGGAACCTTAACTTGTACACTAGAAAAGGAAATAGGAAATTTCAAGTTTGGATGACCCTGACTATGACCTTGAAGATAAGTTGACGGTCAACCCTATTTTCTTGAATATGACCCCATACTTGCGATCCTGGAAATGGGAAAAGAGACGAACATTTTAAGGTTAGATATGTCGTTGATAGTGACCTTGTATGTTATTCCAAGGTTAATCCAATTTACTTGAATGGAAGCCTATACTTTTCATCTCAGCCAAGACGTTGACCTTATGATTCGGAAATTTGCAACCTCTGACTCCCAATTCGATGTTCCACGTGAAAATGGCGATGTACGTTAGGACCACTCTTTAGAAGTACCCTAAGGAATGTATGATTTTTGATAGTCAAAATCGATGATAACGTGAATATGATAAAAGAAAATTAGTTTGACTTTGAAATGACCTTCAAAGTCAAGGCCATACTCAAGGACATATCCAAACTTTCACTTTCCGGGGGCAAATTTATAGGGTCTCATCTGAGAAAATCAATTTGGACTTGAAATGACCTTCAAGGTTATTGTCAAGATTTCAATGCTTTCCGTTGTTGGGGAATTCCGGAAAAACGAATTCCTATCATTAATTACGAGAGAGGATGAGGGACGATCTTTCCTTGGAAGGTTTAGTGACTTGTTTAAGAATTAACACTTTTTTTTAAGGAAAATGAAATTTCTCTCTCAGCATGGGATTATTTACGAAAAATAAGAATCTTGTCTCTTTTGTGATGCAGCTGCTCCAGTTTTCACCATTCAACCAGACAACGCGAATACTCAGATAGGTGGTACCGTAAAATTAGAATGTGTGGCAGCTGGAACACCGCCTCCTGAAATCACTTGGTTCAGGAATGAAGTACCAGTTAGAAATGGGGGTGAGTACATTTATTTGTTCTTGGAAAGTTACCAGCTTTGTTATCTAGATCAACACCCTTTATAAGTCTGAAAATTTTTGAAATAGATTCCCACAGGGACGGTGCAGGCTGATCCTGAAGTTAATAATAGTAAATATTTATTCATAAAATGCTAACCAACAATCATTCCAGTTTATTGTGATATGCCTATTATTTGTTATATTGAAAACATTTCACCCTTAGGTAGGATATACATAGCTCCAGACGGCAACCTTCTCGAGATACGGGACGCGAAGGAATCCGATTCAGGCACGTACGTTTGCGAAGCCAGGAACGAGATGGGGATGCGAGAAGTGAGTGCTTCGGTAACAGTGAAAAACCTGTCGTTCAAACCTGCCAAGCTTGTCTATAAACCTTACAATATCGAAGCGATCGTAGGAAGTACCATCGAAATGCCTTGCAAGGCTACGGGGGATCCCAGACCCGGAATCACATGGCAGAAAGATGGCGCTACTATGCAGAGAACGGGGAGGTTCAAGATTTCTTTGAGCGGGAATCTTTATATTTATAAGGTTGCACCTGAGGATCAAGGCAGGTGAGGATTTCAGGCTTTTTTTTAAAGAAAAGTTGGAAAAAATAGGGGCTTAGGATTTCCCTTAGCTACTGAGAATTATTTTGGGATAATTAATGATAATATTTAATTTAATTAATAATTATTTATTTACAACAACATAATAATTCAGGTAAGGTGAGACTTAAATGACAAAATTTAGCGTTTACTACCCTTACATGTAACCATAAAAGTTACTAGCAGATGTTAATAATAATAGAATATTATTCACTAAAAAATTTAAATTTTTAGTAACGAATTATTATAATAAAGCAAGGACACCAAAAAGCAGGAAAAAATGATTAGGAAATTAAAAGAAAAGTATCCTAAGATAAGTTTTCTGTAGACTTTTGGCATGTTAGATAAATCTTAATGTCTTGTCAAAAATAGTAAGCCTTGGAACAGAATTTTAAAAATTTTGAATTTTGAAGTTTGGAAAAAAATTGAATTTGAAAATTAGAAAAATAATTGGAAAATTCGGAAATTTGGAAAATAATTTCAGGATTTGGTAATTTTTGAAATTTCGAAATTTGAAAAACATTGGAAGTAAATTTAGATTTATTGTTATTGTTGAGGAAGACAGAATTTTTTTTAAAATGTTAAAGTTGAAATTTGGAAAAAAATTTGATTTCAAAATCTGGACAATGATTGGAAAATTCGGACATCAGGAAAATAATTTCAAGATTTGGTAATTTCTAAAAAAATTTGGAGATTTTCAAAAAAAATTGAATTTACGAAATTTCAAAAACTTTGGAAGTAAATTTAGATTTATTGTTATTTATTGAGGAAGACACATTTTTTAAGAAATGTTAATTGTGAGATTTTCAAAAAACATTTGAAATTTCGAAATTTCAAAAACTTTGGAAGCAAATTTGGATTTATTGTTCTTGTTGAGGAAGACATATTTCTTTTAGAAATGTTAATTTTGAAATTTGGAAAAAATGGATTTTAAAATCAGGACAATAGTTGTAAAATCGGAAATTTGGAAAATAATTTCAAGATTTGGTAATCTTTAAAAAAAATGAGATAATATATAATAAGATAAGTAGAAAATAATTTTCAGATATAATAGAATTTTTGTCACTACAATGGAGTCCAACAATCAACGACTAATTAATTGGGAATAAGATAAATATAAAAATTGATATATTAAAAAAAATCAATTATAGAAAAAAGCGTATTAGTTATATTTTCATAATAATTCCAATTTTGTAAATAGCAACTAAGAAATTCCAACATTTAGTATCAAGCACCTCACGGTTTTTTACTATAACTGAGTTTTTTGTTAATATCTTAAGTTTTATATCGATTTTATTACAAATTAATTAGTCATACTTGATTGTTGGACTTATTATTGCAGTTTGACAATCTCTCCTATACTTGCAAATTATTTTCAACTTTTTAGTTCGATTTGCCATTAAAGCGTGCTTTCTAAGTTTTTAAACTACAAGTTATTTATATGTATTTCCAATTTTTCTGCTTAAAAATTATTTGATGATATTTATGGTGTTGGACATTTCAGGTATGAATGCACCGCAATAAACGATCATGGAAGAGACACGGCCTCTGGATATCTGACCATCAAAAACCTGCAAGACCCTACAACTACAGGAACAGGCAGCATTACGAACAGCATTGACAGCCAATTCATCAAAATCGCCTTCGCTGAAGCTTCTGAAGAAGTCGATAGAGCTATCAACAAAACTATCGATAATATAATTCACAACGAGGGAACACATAATCCTGCTGAATTGTTCAGAATCATCAGGTACGACAATTTTTTTGTAATTATTCATGAGCTGTAATTCGACAGCTTTGGTGGGTTAAAACTATATTGGCATATCCCATTTGTTTCTGGAATCTGAATGACAAAACGATTAGTCTTTTTATACTGAATTTATTTGAAAATTAACAGGCAAATAGTTGATTAAATTAATTAAATTAATTAAATTAATTGAATTAATTAAATTAATTAAATTAATTAAATTAATTAAATTAATTAAATTAATTAAATTAATTAAATTAATTAAATTAATTAAATTAATTAAATTAATTAAATTAATTAAATCAATTAAATTAATTAACTTAATTAAATAAATTAAATTAATTAAATTAATTAAATTAAATACATTAATTAAATTAATTAAATTAATTATATTAATTAAATTAATTACATTAATTAAATTAATTAAATTAATTAAATTAATTAAATTGATTAAATTAATTAAATTAATTAGATTAATTAAATTAATTAAATTAATTAAATTAATTAAATCAATCATATTAATTAAATTAATTAAATTAATTAAATTAATTAAATTAATTAAATTAATTAACTTAATTAAATTAATTAAATTAAAGTGGTAGGATTGGAAAGTACTAGGTGTATCTTAATAAATTTTGATAGCACTTTTTTTTTAGTGTGTTATTACTTTTTTGACTCACTTTATATAGGCAGGAAAATATAATACTGGTTTGTTGGTGGTTGAAAACTGAGAAAAGGAGTATTGAGATGAATGGCTGATTGGAGTTGCTTCCTCAATCAGCTTGGCAGCATTTTTTTTTCGTTGAGAATTATTGACTATTTTATATATTAGATATCCAGATGCCCCGGCTAGAGAATTGGCAAGAGCAGCTGAGGTATACGAAAGAACTTTGGTCAATATAAGAAAACAAGTAGAGAAAGGTCGAATGATGGTCAACTCTACCAAGGATTTTGATTACAAAGAGGTGCTTTCTCCTGAACATTTAGAACTTATTGCTAGATTATCAGGTGAGGTTATATCAAGATATATTCTTTACTAACATAAAATAATATTTGTAATTATTTATTTCCTTGTTTATTGAAGATTTTCTTAGCATTAATGCTACAATGTCAATTTTGAATATTCTTTTACACATTTTAAACCAATTGTCTATAATTTTGCATTCTTGTCTATTAAAATTACACATTTGTAAGTTCAAACACTGCTTAATTGCATTATTCAATTTATTAAATTCCCTATACACCCTCCTAGATCCGTAGTTATGATAATGACTTTTCAATTTTGTGAGGTTTTAAATGTGATGGTAATAGACGTTTTTTTTTAATTTGAATATGAAAATGAGAACTAAATAACATCTGACATTTTTAACATTTAATCACTGCAGTTCTTCTAACAGAGACTTAATCTTAGCATATTTGTCTTTATTTAAAATGATTCTCATAGCTTCTTTTTCTAGAATTCGTAATTTTGAAAATATGTTTTTACTTGCTGTAAATAAAATAGTTGAACAATATAAAAAATGGGGAAATCATAACTTTTTTCTCTGTCTAAGTGATTTGAAAATTTAAATCTGTCCTAAATTGTAGTTACTTTCATATTTGTGTTTTAGCTCCTGTAGATGACGACATAGTTTGTCGAAAGGTCGAGATTACCATCAAAAGCGTTAACTAAGCTTTTAGTTTTGCCAATTCCCGATAAACAATATAATTGTATCTTTTTGCCCAGCTGGTCGTTGACAATGGCGATGACTACTGCTCATATACAGGATGTAAAATTAGTAGCGTGGTCCGAAATTTTATAGTTCAGGAGATATTTGCAATTTTGTGAAATTTCCAAAAAAAAATAACGGGATAGTGAACTTTCAATCGCAATTACAACTAAACCATTAGGTTGAGGGCAGTGATTTTTTTCTTAGCTAAATTTTTTTTTTTTTTTTATACTCCAACTACCACGAAGGCCTAAGGCCTAAGCACCCATTGGGTACCGTGGGGCTATGGGGGATACATGGGAAAGGGGGGACGCCACACGGACTCTGGCGAGGGAACACGTGTGCATGCAACATGCACACATTATGGCTCCGCCTACGAGAACCGCCGGGTGGTACCTCCGCGTTCGACAGTCAGAGACCATCTACCACCTACGAAATGGTTAATTTTAGCAATGATTAAGTCAATTTTCAACAGAGCTTATTAGAAATCAACGCAAAAAATCTTAAATTCATTTTTTTGTGAAAAATCTCTTCCATCCCTCAGCTTCTATTTGATACTACAATATGTAGGTTGGCTCTTGTTGAGAACTTTGTGTGCGATATTTTCCCTCTACATCTTCGTTTCCTCAGGTTACATCCGTATCCGGATGTATGGGCATGTGTATCTACTTTTGTAGTTACATATGTGCATCCATTTCGGGCCTGATGAAGCCAACCAGCAGAAATACTTATCGCTCGGGTTACCTATCCTATTTTCTGCTCGAATCCACTTTCCTTCTTTTTGCGTATTTTGCCCATTATTTTCCTATTTTTGTGTTATACCTTTCGCCGCATGATCACTTTTTTAGGGTTTAGTTAACTCTTTTGACGATAGCATCGAGCTTTCGGCAATTCTCTATGGAGCCTTCATCAGGATCTGAAAACACAATTATGGATGCTCGCAACCAATACAGGAACGACTTAAATTGTCAAACAACTTACTCGTCGTTGAGGTTGCAGCCAAATGGTGTTACAAAACGAACGCGGAGATGAGAGCACTTGTTACAAATATCAAATCAATAAGCTCAATGTGTCCATCAGATTGGTTTTATATTTGTAACGAGTGCTCTCGTCTCCGCGTTCGTTTTGTAACACCATTTATCTGCAACCTCGAAGTCGAGTAAGTTGTTTGACAATCTAAGTCGTTCGTGTATTGGTTGCTAGCATCATAATTGTGTATTCAGATCCTGATGAAGGCTCCATAGAGAATTGCCGAAAGCTTGATACTATCGTCAAAAGAGTTAACTAAAGCCTAAAAAAGTTTGCCAATTTCCTAATTAACAATTAATTGTATTTTTTGCCCTATATATATATATCAATGTACCGTCCGCAAATATTTGAATTTTGCAGTGTTCTCTAATGGCAGAGATATTATTTATATAAATAATAAATAGTAACGCCCCTAATTTACTCCCCTGTGGCACCCGTACGGATATATTTTGAACGCTTGACATAATATTTCCAACTTTAGTTTTTTGACTTCTATTTACTAAATAATTTTACTTATCCTTTAAAGCCCTTGACAATTTTCACTACCTAAGTCAAATACATAGACTATTAAGCCGTACTGAGAACCATCTTATTTTTTTTTCAGGTTGTATGACTCACAGACTGAGCCGCAACTGTACAGACATGTGTTTCCACTCTAAATACCGAAGCATCGACGGCACTTGCAACAACTTGCAGCATCCAACGTGGGGCGCGTCCCTAACAAGCTTCAGGAGAGTGTTGAAACCCATTTATGAAGACGGGTTTGCTAAGCCTGTCGGTTGGGATAAAGGTATAATTGTTTCAGGAATTTGATTGATACTTAATATATTTTTTTATTTAAGGTAGAAAGTATTACGGTTATCCAAAACCTTCGTCGAGGCTGGTATCGACCACGTTGATCAGTACGAAGAAGATTTCATATGATCCGGAGTCTACTCATATGGTAAGTATTGGCCTTACAAATTCAATTTTTTTTTATTTTGTTGTGGGCGTTATCAAACATATAGGAATGGTTAATAAAAAATTAAAACTAGGAACAAATAATAGTAAAAATGGCATGACGATAAAATAAACTTTATAGAAACAAAACGTAAAAAATGCGAGGGAAGAAACAGTATAAAAACACAGATCGATCAAAAACATTCTCAAATTGTGTTTAAAGGACCCCCGATAGCACGAAATATCCATTAAATATTCATTCAATATTTAACAATATTTTTATCTTACTTAAATACTTATTTTCTTGAACAAATATTTAATAAAAATTTGTAATATAATATTTTGATTAAATATTCATTCAATATCTTCTAAATATTTTAAATACAATATTTCTATTATAATATTCATTAAATATTCACTTTTCAATCCATGGAAAATATTAAATCTTCAATATTTAGAAAATATTTTTGAAATATTTTCGAATACGGCGCATGTGCGTGAGACCAATGTGATAATAGCAAGCCGGCCTGAGGCGACCCGTTTGCCGGCATCCATTTTGCCTGTGAGTTTCACTATTATAGCGTGCTTCCTGTGTACCTCCAAGTGGTACATTATTCGGCTGTATTTTTGTGGAAAAGGATAAGTTTTTCGATAATTACATAGCTTAATTTATCTGACTATTAAACGTATTTGTGCCAGTTGAGTAGAAAGATATTTACAAGATCATAAATAGCTAGCCTTGAAGTGTAACAGTTATTTGCTATTGGTGGATTTATCTGAGAATGGATACGAAAACTATATTCATAACATCCCAATGAAAAGTCATATAATCACAACTTGATCGATATACATCAAAAATGCTTTTTTTAAATATCTCGATTATTATTACTATTTTTGTCGTAGTAGGGGACAGGTCAGCTGTAACTATTTTAAAATAATAATTTTATATTCCCATAAATACACTGGAAAGCATCTTATGTATTCAATAATACTTCATAATTAGTAAGTCTTTTTTTCAGAGGAGCGAACTTAGGCTTAGAGTGTTCTTTTAATAATATTTTTCTAGCAAATTAAGCCATTATATCTAGAATGATTTAATATTTTCCATTAATTAAAATAATATTATTAAAGAAATATTGTATTTGAAATATTTGAAAAAATATTTTATACCTAAATATTATATATATGTTTAAGATAACAAATATTTAAGTAAAATAAAAATATTACTAAATATTGAATAAATATTTAATGAATATGTCGTTGTAACCTACTTAATACTACCCAATTTTGAAAGATGTTAGCCTTACTTTCCGGATCCTCTACTAGATTCCTGATTTATCGTGATTTTTAAAATGCATTGATTAACTTAACTGTTGGTTATTTCCGTATGTTTTATGAAAATGATCTTCAGATGCCACATTTTCCCCCTAGGTGATGCAATGGGGTCAATTCCTGGATCACGACCTGGACCACGCCACGCCATCCGTCAGTTCGGAAAGTTGGGACGGGATCGATTGCAAAAAGTCCTGCGATTACGCGGCCCCCTGCTACCCGATGGACGTGCCCCCAGGGGACCCCAGGGTGACCAACAGAAGGTGTGTAAAACAGAACCTATCATTCAAAATATCAAAGGACGACGTTTCGTTCCATATAAATATATCTTCAATTTGGGGTAGCAGGTGTTGAATATTTCTACCTCATCACTTTTCAGGTTTATAGAAACTTATCTATGAACGTGAATTTTGGCAGAGAGGTAATTTATGGACAGGACGTGTCAGCTTTTGTTTGTTCGTTTCAGATTTATTTAGCATGATTGCTACAATTACATTCTCTTAAAAAACTAAACAATTACATAACATACAGATATTCATAAAAAAACAAAATTTGCATCTCTAAGAATTTTCATTGTCCATGAAATATTCCTTTAATTGTCTTTTAAATATCTTTAAATTACAAGTAGACTTTATATCATTATTTAGTTTATTAAATTAAAGTAATCCTTTCTGAAATATTGATTTGCTGGTTAAATTACTATTGCAATTTTGTAAATGAAAATCTATATTTTCTCTTTTACAATAATTGTGGTAATGATTATTCGATTATACTTTGAAGTTGAGTCATTAATTTTCAGATAATGATTGTAGAAGGAAGATAAACCAAAATATGTGTGTAAAAATAAAAAAAAAATAAAAAAAAAATGTTACCTTGTTTTATAAAGTATCATCCCGACAAGTATTTCAGTGCGGACCTGTATTTGATCGTGAGGTCTTGGAGCACCGGCATGCCGTCCATATGTGAGGTCTTAAGTCACCTGATTCACGAACCCGTTGTACTACATTAACAAAGGCACGAGGGGTTGGTTGCACTCGATTGGGAAACCGATCCGCATAAACATGTGCCATTTTTTATTTCGTTTGAGCCACGCAGCAGTTACACCACTATTCACTACCGACTGACACTGACTGTATACAACTGAATGAAATAATTGTAAAAACATCGTTCCAAATTCTTTCGCTTTTTTGTTTCCGATGCGATGAACCGATAAGGCGGATTATATCCGTTGTCGCCAAAGACGAGCACATAATATTATTGTTGAGACAGGGCGGTACTCAAACTTCCAAAGGGCTATAACTTTGTTACTTTAATTTTACCAGAAAAATGGTAAAGGAAAAAACATTTCTTTTGATCAGATCTACTCACTGTTAAAATAAATGACTCAACTTCGAAGTTCCTGTATGTAGTGTTCTAAATGTTCTGGCAAAAGATGATTTTTTATTTTAAATATAAAAATAAGAACCAAATATGATATGAATTTTTTTATATTTAACCATTGCAAGATTTTATTTTAGTGTACTTATTTATATTCAATATTATTCTCATAGCTTCATTTTGCAAGACTGGTAATTTTGAGAATACAGCTTCATTGCTAGTGTACAAAATAGTTGAACAATATAATAAATGCCTTAGAATAATTGTAATATGATACTCGTATTTTCTTGGAATATGTACCAAGGCTATGAGAATCTCTATAAAAGTAATTTGTTTTTTTTGGCAATTTTTGAAATAATGTATTGATAGTGATCCTCAAACTTTAGTAACTACCTAAATATTTAATTGATTCAACATTTTCAATTATTTCTCCATTTATCCTAACTATTTTCAATTAGGCATTTCCCTATTAGCATACATTTTGTTTTAGAAGTATTCAAATTTAGTTTATTTACATTTAACCAATTTACAATTTTTGACAAGTCAGAATTTAGCATTTTTAAAGCAGTGTCTATATTTTCATCTGATATGTATATTCATGTATCATCTGCAAATATCTGAAGTTTACAATAAACTAAAATATTACAAATGTCATTAATGTATAAAATAAATTGTAGTGGACCTAGTTCACTACCCTGTGGTATACCAACAAAAATATTTTTTGATCTTGATAACGTAGATCCAATTTTGTTTTTTTCACTTGTCAATTAAATAGCTGAGAAGTAATTTTGTGAAAGAGCTGGTCCAAGGGGGAGCTATATGCAGATATACTCAGTGACATTAGAAGTGTTACATCCAGAAAAAATAATGTCTTCAACTTTTTTTTTCAATGACTATATTTAAAACTTGCTGTGTCAACAATGTCAACGTTTTATCTTTGCTTTCGTTTACCTTTGTTAAAATGTTATCACTTAGTTTTTGTGACGAAAGCAGTTTCTAAGAGCCGAGTAGTACATATATTTTTAGTTATTTCACTTACATTTACAATGTTCTTGAAGAATGCGCTATTAAATTTTGAAACGTACTTCTACAGGTGCATCGACTTCGTCAGGTCCTCGGCCATATGTGGTTCAGGCATGACGTCCGTGTTCTTTGACAGCTTGCAACCAAGAGAGCAGATCAATCAGTTGACGTCGTACATTGACGCGTCGCAAGTGTACGGCTTTTCGGAGGAACTAGCTAGAGAATTGAGGGATTTGAATAGCGACGGAGGAAGATTGAAGGAAGGCGCTATATTTCCCGGTAGGTTTTTTTGTTATACGTCTACGTGGATTCGACGGAAAATGGTGCGCACTTGGATATACATTGTGTTTTCAAAAATCACATGTGTCCGAGAAAGTTTGGAAAATCTCGTAACCGACAAAGTGTAAGTCCGAAATTGCACGCTTGCGCAGATCGCGCGCTAGCTCTATCTCTCTTACTCCCTACAGACGATCTATAAAAGAATTTATCTGACTCTATACGATTGCTGCGTATATGCGGTTTCTGACTATATGCGGTTGCTGCGTAGACACGTGGTCTCACTATATGCGGTTGCGGCGTACATATGTTCCCACGATATGCGGGTTGCGGCGTATCTGCGTGGTCTCTCTGTTAGCTAGTATCTCTCTTCTTTTTATTGTCCTAGCAGCGCACGCGCGCGGGGTAGGCAAGCGACAACTCAGACTCGCCTTAAAATAAAGCCAGCCCAAATATCCCTAACAGTATCATCAGCAAATAGTTGAATTTTGCAGTGTTGGAAAATATCAGGAATATCGTTAATATATAAAATAAATAGTAATGGATCTAATTTGCTACCCTGTAGTGCACCTACCGAAATGTTTTTAATGTTTGATAATGTATTGCCAATTTTAGTTCTTTTACTTCTATTGATTAAATAATTTTGTAATAAGTTGAATACCGAACCTTGAAATCCATAGCAATGCAATTTTATTAACAACTGTCAATAGTCTCAAATGCTCTCTTGAGATCTAAGAACAATGTTACTGTAATGTTTTTTCATCCATATTTCGCTTCCATTCTTCTACTACCACTCGAATTGCTGTTTCAGTGGAATACTTTTTTCTGAATCCTGCTTGAAATTTTGTCAATATTTTATTTTCTTCAATATATTCAATGATTTGTTCATATATGATTCCTTCTAAGAGCTTCTCGAGATCTGGGAGTACATTAATTGGCCGCATGTTTGTATATAACTCAGAATTTTTCACTTTTGGAGCAGGAGTAATTGTACAATATTTTAAGTTAACAATAATAACTTCTCTCCAATAATGTCGTAACACTCCTTCATAACTACTTTTGGAAGATGTTCACTAGGATTTCTATTCGATTTCAATCTTGTAATAGCTTCTGAAATATGGCTGATATTTATTGTTTGGAATTGTCTCATAGAAGAATTACAAGTGACGTAGATTTGAATCCCCATCTTCGATTGATTCCACTATCTCATTTATACTTTCTATAAAATAAGCGTTCATTCCTTCTGCAATCAATATTTTTGTGTTACTTTACCATCTTCGAAGCACATTCTTGATAATTCATTCTTCCTACAATCTTTTTTAGTGTCTTCCACATCATTTTACTGTTATTTTTATTGCTATCGATTTTGTTTTCGTAATATTTTTTCTTTTCGTTCCTAAGAGTTGTTAAACACTTGTTTCTCGATTTCTTATATTGTATCCAATCTTCCTCAGTTTGAGTGATCATAAACAATTCAGAGTTTAGAAATATTTGTGAAAACCAGAGTGTTGGCCGTTTCCTTTGATATACCACTTTCTTAATTCGTGCGTCTCTCATACAGTTCTCCATACAATCCATAACTTTCGAGAAGTGTTGTATCCCTCTTTTTCGCAGGAAGAAAACCGCTGCTACCGTATTCCTCGTCCGCGGTGATGGACTGTCGCCGGAACCTCTCGGAGAGCACCCTGAACTGCTTCTTGGCCGGCGACATCCGCGCCAACGAGCAAGTGGGCCTGGTGGCGATGCACACCGTGTGGATGCGCGAACACAACCGTCTAGCCAAGGAACTGAAGCACCTGAACCCGCAGTGGGACGCGGACACCCTGTACTTCGAGGCTAGAAAGATTGTCGGAGCCGCTGTCCAGCATATTACTTTTCAACAGTGGCTGCCGAACGTACTCGGCAAGAAGGGGATGGAGATGTTCGGAAAGTACGCGGGGTACAATCCGAATTTGAACCCGAGCATATCGAATGTGTTTGCTACGGCTGCGTTGAGGTTCGGGCATACCATGATCAATCCGGTTTTGCAGAGGTAAGGATTTTTTTTTATATTCTTGAAAGTCTGCGAAGGGGTAAGGCCTGAAGATCCGTAGGTACCGTGGGGCTATAGGGGGAGAGTAATTATTTAGGTATCAAATAAAAATTGTAGATCTTTAGTGATTCTTTGCATAATGCAATAAATACAATATATCTTTATTTCCATAAACAATTAATTCAATTGTAGTCTGTCACGTGCTAAAATCATGTAATCTTTCTTTTAACTGTTTTGATCACTTATGAGTAATTTAAATTTCTCTTCATTAATTAAGTTTATTGATATTAAAATTGCTCACGTATTATGTCTGTCATTCTCAGCGACTCAGTATTGTATAGAAAACTTTCTTCTATCTGAGAAATTTCCTCATAAAATATTGTTGGTCCCTCGTAGACACCTTTGTTTCTGCCTACAGTCTGTCCATAGGCAACCAGCGCGCCATCTTGTGATTTTTACACGTACTAGCCGTATATGAATGTTTACCTTCCTATCAAGATACATTCTGTCAAAATTTGCCTTACTATCAAGATACCTTCTTTACCGGCTGTTCCTTTTGATGTTCTGTCAAACGTGCCTTTTTCAGGGCCACTTATTCAACTTTTTCCGCTGTGATTTTGGTCGTGTGCGGGCGTTTTTTTTTCGTCAACTTCCAGATTTTGGGATATTAACGCCCCAAGCACCAGTTTATGGAGTAGTACCTTTTAATTTTGTGCCTTACGCTTAGTTGTTTTGGTTTGGGTCGATTACGTCATTATTTTAGTCTGTAGTAAAGCAAACGACAGCGATTTGTGAATATATTTAATGAAGTTTCTGATATGTTAGATAGAGACAAACAGAATTTTATTATCTAAACAAACTGTATTGCTAATTTGCATGTATTCGAAAAAGATAGACGATGTTTTCATGTTGCTTGATCGATCATATTTGAAAGATGAATAATTAGGTTATGTTGTTTTCGAATAATATTTTGGTCTTTGGTGTTCCTGTCTTAAGGTATTCTAGTCATAACTGTTTTTTTCAAAACAAAAACTCGCCACTGAAATTATTATTAAGGTACCCACACAAAACCATGAAGTAAAATGAAAATAAAAATAATCAGTGAAATAACCTAACTTCGCAAAATCATAATATAAATTTATTGTCATTATGTTCCTGACATCGTGATTTTATCATCGACGTGCGTCCATTGATTACTTCTGAAAAATTTAGGGTATGACGTAATAGTCATCTTTCTTGATTTTGACTATAGTTTGTTTAGACAATAAAATTATGTTTGTCTCTGTCTAACATATCTGAAACTTCATTAAAAATATTCCTTTGCTTGCACATCTCTTCACCACTGCGCCTCGCGTTCAAACGCTTCCAAACCGTTCGAAAAGTGATGCAAGGATATTACTCATCATTTCAGGCTGAACTGGGACTTCACGCCGATCAGAGAAGGCCACCTGCCTCTGTCCAAAGCCTTCTTTTCGCCGTGGCGCATCGTCGAAGAAGGGGGCATCGACCCGTTGCTGCGAGGTCTCTTCACGGTCGCCGCGAAGATCAAGAAACCGACGGAAAACCTGAACACGGAACTCACAGAACACCTGTTCCAAACCGCGCACGCGGTTGCGCTGGACTTGGCTGCGATGAATATCCACAGGTCCAGAGATCATGGCATTCCGGGGTACATCGAGTTCAGAAAGTTTTGCAATATGACGCCGGTGGACAGTTTCGATGATCTGAGAGGCGAAATAACGGACGGTGAGGTTAGGAGGAAGCTGCAAGAATTGTATGGGCATCCGGGGAATATCGACGTTTTCGTTGGTGGTAGGTACATTTTCGACCAACTGTTTTGTTGTGTGAAGAATGTTTATTATCTTGAATTACTCGTAAAGGTTCTTAATCTTTCAAAAATTTTCATTATTGCAAATGTTGGATCAATTAAATATTTAGGTATATATATTGATGGTAAACTAAAGTTTGAGGATCCCTATACATTATTTCAAAAATTGCCAATTAAAAAACAAATTACTTTTATAGGGCTTCTCATAATAAAAAAAAAATAGTTCATAATACAATTATTCTACCGCGCTTACTATATTGTTATAATGTGTGACATTTCTAATAACAAACGTTTGGAAGGATGTTCTTCTTTGTCAAGGATCTTGATGCTGTGTGGTTTTTGAGGAATTTTAATCAATCAAGAATATTTGTCCCAATGCATACATATTTTATCATTAAAAAATAATTGTTCTCAACCGTTGTTAAAAAAGGATCCGCGTAAATCCAGTTTTTTATCATCTAGCCATGTGTTACAAATACAATTTAATACATCAAACACTATCACCCATCTCATTGAAGAAGTAAGTAATTAAATTATAATCAATTGAGCATGGTTTGCTATTGACTATTTTCAATTTTATTTTTAGCTCCTGAAGATGACAGCATAGCATGTCGAAAGCTTGAGTATTTGTAAGTCAGAAGGGTACACTTTGCTTAATTTATCGATATATATATATATATATATATATATAATATATAATTCCTTGAAAAGGTGGGGGTAAGGATAAGGGGAAGCAAATGTCCTTGTGATCTTGTGGGAACGGAAAAACGGGGAGGGGGCGGGGATACCGACAGAAATTTGACTCATCATTTATTCTCAGGCATCTTAGAAGACCAAGTGGACGGAGCAAAAATAGGCCCGCTATTCCGCTGTCTCCTGATCGAGCAATTCCAGCGACTCAGAGACGGCGATCGTTTCTACTACGAGCACCCTTCGGTCTTCAAGCCCGAGCAACTAGTCCAAATCAAACAGTACAGCTTTGCCAGGGTGCTGTGCGATAACGGAGATAACATCACTCGCATCAACAGGGACGTCTTCAAACTGCCGGAACTGCAAGGCGGATTTGTCAGCTGCGAAGAAATACCGAAGGTCGAATTGAAGTTTTGGTCGGAGTGCTGCACCGATTGCAGGTAGGTAACTCGGAAAGCAGACGTTAGACAATTACGAAAATCATATTGGCGGAACGTTATACCAGAAGTAGCTAACATATTGTAGAGTAGTGTTGAGTCTAGAAGAATCGGGAGCCACATAGCGGCCTTCCAGAATAGTCGAGGTTGCTTCGCGTCGATCTAGATGGCGATCCGCCGCCAGGTGGCTGGTGCGGTCGTGATTCGCGTAAAAGCAGAGATCGGCCATGAAGCTCGAGTAGGAGACTCGCCCAACAGATGGCGCCAACAGTATAATTCGTCACAATATGATGACGTCAATTGGTTGTGACATTAGACCTTCATAATGACGTCATTTTTGTTGGTCGACATAGGTCTGTCATGACCTAAAAATGTTGACATTTGACGTCACTATGTTCACTGGTGTGCTAGCGTCACACATGAGTATGTTTTTTTTTCAGATATTCGGGACAGCTGAATACGATCAGCAGATTGAACGCCAGAAGAAACAGAAGACATCTAGGAGAGGGAGAAGTATTCACAAATGCTTCTATCCCGCAGTATGACGAGGTGAAAGTACTCAAAACTCGTATCATGGACATGGAGAAAGACATGGAAAAAATGAAAAGCAATCTGAAGAAAATGAACAAGTTAGTGAAGGAACTTCAGAAGAAGTCTATGATTATGTAAATGTTTACAGATTTTACCCTTTGTTTTTATAATACTGCCGTAACTTTAATTTACTAACTGTCTTGCATTTTGTACGTTTAGTTTTTAAGTTATTCTCTCTTGTGATTTTGTGATATTTATTATTGTATGTTTTGTACTAAATATTTAGTTGCCCTGATTATTCATTAATGGATTGTACTGGATGTGTACTTAAAAATATTACCAAATAATCATCATCATTTAAACAACTTTCATGTTCTTATGCAAGTAGATGATATAATATTCCATCTGAACACAAGAATTTTGTGCCATGTCTCATTTTATGTTCTAAACGTGTCTAAGATTCTAATAAATGCTTTAAGCTGTATCTATATTACAAAATATGTCTATTACAAATAAATTTATTAAATACTGCTCTCGACTATTATTTCAATCAATAAATCCCTGAAATCGTTAACACGCATTGAGGATCTTCTATAGAGAATTGGTAAGTTCAAAATAAGCTTTGTCAACTATTTCGTCTTTACCAACGAATTCGGAGACAGCCATGGATTTGTCTTATTGTCATAATAGTCTCTACTGGGGATCAAAGTGCACTTGACCTAAGTCAATTTTTTAACGGTTCTGTCATTAAATACTTATATTTAGTGTTATTTTGATAAGTGTTGTGACATTTTCAAAACAGGGTAATTCTTACTTAACTTGCAAAGTGCGTCTAGATTTTCAAAATACTCCCATTTTCCTTTCTTCCCCTTCTTTCAGCCAAGATATCTTCTTGTCTCTTCAACCGTACAGTTGTCGATGATACCCTGGAAATCTGTCTTCATTGCGCATTATTCGTCCAAGCCAATCCATGCATCGACCCATAATATTTTAACTTTTGACTACCTGACCTCAGGGTTACTGTTGAACTCAAAAAGTGATCATGAGAAACTAATAAAAATGATCTAATAATTACCTCAAATGATGCTTTCGAAAGAAGTTGTTCTTGGTATATCAAGTCCCTCCCGATATCTAGAATACATCAATATTAAAAAAATTTAGCTGGTTAGGCAACGTTGCGTAGCTTTATTTCTCGAAGTAATCAGTACGTCGTGTATGCATCGAATTTCAAGAGTTTAGGGTGAGTCTTTTTGACGAGTCTCTTGGAAGTAGGGATGTTCTGATCCACAAAAAGTATCGATTCATATCGTCTTAGGAAATGTCGATACTTGAAAATATCGGAATAAAAATATCGATACCTCAAGTATCGGATCCTTTCGATACGGAACATACACTGCCGAAAATCGAAGTTGTTTTTTCTACAACCCTCAAAGTAATGTTTTCGTTTTACAACTGCATGACTAGATTGTCACTAATAAAAATAAGTAAAAAACTCACAATTGCATATCTCAGATCTCCCACCTAAACTCGATTTTACAAAATAGCTCCACAAAAATACTTCTTACAATCTTACTATCACAATAATGTTTTGTTTCAAACTATGAATGTTTAATCAAACAAAACTAAAAACACTGTGTGCTATGTGTGTAATTCCTCGAAACCCAATTCAAAAGGGTTGCCAGGTTGTTTACCTCAGTTTCCCCAGTCAAAATGTACCCCCTAAATTCAGGACTTTTCAAAAATAATTCCCCAAAAAATACCATTAATTTTTTGTTGCCTTAGGTTCACGATTTGTTAGATATTCTTTGATTTTGAAATATTTTTTGAGCGGCATATTTTTTGTATGTCGCTAAACACCTCAAAAGGTAAAACTATTTTTTCAGAATCGAAAGACAAACAAATACATGACAAGTACATTATGTAATGTAATAAAATATTACATAATCATACCCCCCCAAGTAAAACATGTTTCCCCAAAAGAAATACCCCAAAATATTCTCCATTGAAATTAAAATCCTCTAATTTTTGAGCAGAACCCCCTAATATGGAAACCGGGAAATCTAAAATAAATTATGTAAGGCCGTGAAGTGAGTAGCACCAGCGAAAGGAAACAAAGAAGAAAAGTAAATTGAAGTTACTCACACAGTCCGAATCGAAATATAGCGATACTGGTGAAATGTATCGTATACACCCAATTATCGTATATAAAAATATCGATCCAAAATATCGGGTATCGGAAGCAAAAGTATCGATACTTCTAAATATCGAATCGTATCGATCATCCCTAGCGGTAAACTATGTCATGTCATCTTGACAACTCCGTCAAAGGCTAACCCCGTTTGAGATTCACCGATATTTGGATCATTTAATTTTTAAAAAGAATATTTCTGTTTAGCTGAAACTGTTTTTTGTCAAGCATGTTATCTATCTACACACTTTTAATTTTGTGAGGCATAACAAACTGAATGATTTCCAACCATTATTGGAGAACAATAATAGTAGAACCTCCACAGCTACTCACAACAGGCAATATTCCCTCCAATATTCAGTGGAGTCTTTTGCAAGGACCCAAACAGTCGTCGATTATACTCTGGATCTCTGGATATCTGTCTTCATTGCGCATTTTTTGCTCAAGTCGGTATCATAAGCAATCCATGCCTTGAACCATAATAGTAGTCAGTGTTTTAACTTAACGTCAGGGTTCCTGTTGAACTCAAAAAAAGTGATTATGAGGAACAAATAAAAATGATCCAATAATTACCTCGAATGATTCTTTCAAAAGAAGTTATATTATAATATCATGTTCTTGGAATAAGGAACGTGAAAGGATATCTAGAATACACCAACATCAAGAAAATTTAATTCGCTTGGCAACGTTGCTCAGCTTTATTAACATATACTTCGTGTGTGCATCGAGTTTCGGGAGTTATGTCATCTTGACAACTCTGTCAAAGATCTAACCTCGTTTATTTGAGATTCAAGTATATTTGAATCCTTTACTTTTTAAAAGAATATGTTTAGCTGAAACTGTTTTTTGTCAAGTATGTTATCTAGGCGCTGCGTTTTACACACTTTTAATTTTGTGAGGTATAGCAGGCATGCCGTGTCTTCTAACAAACTGTATAATTTCCAACCATTATTGGAGAACAACAGTAGAACCTGCACAGCTACTCACAACAGGCAATATTCCCTCCAATCGTCAGTGGAGTCTCTCGCAAGGACCCAAACAGGACTATTCAAAACATTATCCGAAAGCACTCCTGTAGAATATGTCCAAAAGTTCCTGCTAACATTTCATGATACCACAGGCTTACCATGGTGGGCTACAATTGTGTGCACCACTATCTTACTAAGGACTTCTGTGACCCTACCATTGGCCGCGTACCAGTACTACATATTAGCAAAAATAGAAAACCTAAAAGGTGAAATGTCACTGATAGTGGAAGAGTTGAAGAAAGAAACTAACATGGCTGTGAAGATGTATCACTGGGATGAAAAGACAGCTAGGGGTACTTATAATAGATCTGTAGGTAAATCCACAGGACATGTACACTATAAAATTATTAAATATTTGTAATGTTGGGAATTCTGCTAATAATAGATTTAATTTTAGTCATTGGACAGACACATCTAGCTTGCACAAATGTTTTTAGCTTCTATGGAACATTTCAGGGTAGATGGTACCTTTTATACTTATGCTTTTAAATTCATGTTTTCTATTTTTGAAAATTAGGAGTCTTGTGATTTGAATCACTCGCTACATGCTTATTATAGATTCCTGAAGAAATATTAGTGGAAAGTTTAAGTAGAAGAAGAGTCTCCTGTGCCATAGTTGGAAATATCTTCAATATCTCTCATCTTTCTAAAATAAATTAAAATACCGCATGAACAATTACAACACTGTCTCTTGGAGACAAAAACAAGCCTGAAAATCCTAATTAAACCCTAGAATGATACATTTATATAATATCTGATATCTTTTTATAGTTAAGAAAGCAGTGGAACAATCTCATAGTAAGAGAAAATTGCCACCCCTTCAAAGCTAGTCTTCTTCTATGGTTTCAAATTCCAATGTGGGTTTCCTTATCTGTGGCTATAAGGAATTTAGTCTACATGCTACCAAACGCTGATTTGGATGCCAAACTAACATTCACAGAACTTACAGTTGGCGGATTTGGATTTATACCAAACCTTATTGAAGTAGATGCTTCATTTATACTCCCTGTGAGTTTCGGGATAATAAATTTGGCCATAATTGAGGTAAGAACCTTTTTTAATTTCAAAACTGTACCTGTAACCAAAGTCAACCTACTTTTTCACATTTTTGTCCGAAACTGTGCTAAAAGGTGCACATCAGATAGAAGTCTGATCAAACCTAGACCTTGTGTCAATGTCAAGATATTGTACATATTTTAAAGTAATCAAATATAAAGGCAGGGGTACCTCAGTTATTGAATGATTGTATTCATCAGACTATAAAGGTTATCTATTTATCTTAGAATTTATATAATTTTTTTCAGCTGCAACTCCTCTCCAAGACAAATTCGCCCACCAAAATTCAGAAGTTCTTAACAAATGTTTTCAGAGGGTTCAGTATCTTCATGATTCCTATTGCAGCGTCTGTGCCTTCGGTAATATCCAGCTTTCATTTAAATTTCGTAATTTCCTAATAAAATAAAACATTTCAGTGCTTGGTTCTATATTGGACGACATCCAGTGCTTATGGACTGGTGCAAAACATGCTGTTGCTTTCACCACCAGTGAGGAGGTTCTTTAGGATACCAAAGACTGACAGTGAATTACAAAATCCTTACCAGCACATTGTAAATGGTGTAAAAACTCGGTTTTCAATAAATAAGTAATTACAGAGATAACAAGATGTTTTATTTGAAATGTGAAGATGATATTTAGTATCATAAGTAACTGTAAGTTACGGATGCGATATTTTTGGACAAAATTAGGCCAAGTAAAATAATCTGAATAGAATTTTTTTATAGTGTCAACCAAAAGTTTTTACTTTCTTTATTTGCATAAATATAAAAGAAAACGTATTTTGTCAGTTAAAGAGGAAAAAAACGAGAGATACAAATTACAGGTGGAGAGGCATTCATGAATTTGACAAAAAAAAATACGTCAAGTGTAAATTACATCATAATAAAACACATACACAAGATAAATACATTATAAGTGTCCTGTAATGTTGTCTGAAGCACTCGCACAATTACACAATCATAATACATTAAAAATAACATGTGTGTGTTCTGGTAGGTATTCATTAACACACAACAGCTTCAATAAAAGGTTTTTCACATGATTTTTGAATGTATCCTTTGTAATCTCTCCTAATTGCTGCGGTAATTAAACAGTTTCATAGACATGTTCATGTTGCTTCTTTGAGTCAAGCTTAACCAGTACTGAGGTACAAGTTGTCCTTGTACCTCGCATCATATTCGTGAATTTATTCATTTGCCGAAATTTGTGTAAATTCTTGCAACCATCAAGCAATGGTAAATATATCGAGCAGGAAAAGTTATAATGTTCAGATTTTTCTATAACTGTCTAGCATCTCAGTGCTGCCTTTTGGAGTTTGAAGAGAATTCCATTCTGAGCAGATGCCCAAATTTACTGTTATATGACAATTTTTGTTTTCAAGGATTTGCAACAATTTTCAGTCAAGCAACTGTTCAACTACATTTAGCCAGGGTTGCTAAACGTTTAGGTGTCAAATTGTAGGAGTTTTTTCAGATAATAAAATAAAAGATTCATTATATAAAAATATATTTAAAATTTAACACATCATATATTTACATATAAAAAACATAACATAATTCCTACTAAAATAGTTTTACAATTAATTTTTATATTTCTAGTTAACTTTGCTGGTGTAGTGGTCCCAATTCAAACAATTTTGTCGCAATTAATATATGATAAAAATTGAAATAGATTTAATAATTTGTTATCTGCCTTTGATCAGAATAAATTAATTATTTATCAGTTTTGGAATATATTTGGTGTGAATAAGAAATCCAATTCAGTCATTTATGAAATATAAGACATATTCATATACATGGAAATGAAAAACGTTTAAATCGTATTTTAATTTTACTAAATAAAGTGCCAATTATGTAGATATTGCTCCAAAATTGTTCTTCCGTGTTGATAAGTTAGGTTTTTTTTAATAGCCTTTATTATCTAGGCTATACATATTAAGGCCTACATTTAAGGAGGAGAAACTTCAAAGTAGACTTACTATAGGTTTTTGGAATTTTTTAGAATCAATATTACAAAGTTTTTTTAAGTGTTCAATGTTTTCTAACCTTTTTAGATATCCAAAATTTCACAAAATTTTGAGCTCTTCATAGAATATTTCGAGGATTTGTAAAAACTTTCAAACGATCGAACATTTTGAGGATTCTGAACGTTTCAAAAATTTGGAAAATGTCGAGGGTTCCGAATTCTCAATGTTCTGAGAATTTTGAAAATCGTTGGAACCTGAAAATATGAAATTCTCGTCAATTTTCAAAATTCTGAATATTTCCATTTTTCAGGATTTTCTAAAATTTTCAATAAATTTGGAATACTTTCAAATATTTCTAGAATTCCTAAATTTTTGGTAACCTCAATAAAATATGAAATTTTGAGGATTCTGAATATATAAAAAGTTTTGAAAATGCCAAGAATTTCGAAGTTCTCAATGTACTGACAAATTTGGAAAATCGTTAATAACATTCTGAAAGTGTTGGAAACTGAAAATCTGAAGTTGACAAATTTCAAAATACTGAATATTCAAGAAATGTTTGAATACTTCAAAGAAGATTTCGTAAATTTTTTTTAACCTTAAAAAACCAAACATTTTGAGGATTCTGAATGTTTCAACAGTTTTGAAAGTGTCGAGTATTTAGATGTACTGAAATTTTTGTTAAAATTGTCAAGTTTATGAATATTCTGAAAATGCTGGAAACTGAAAATTTTGAACAGACGTGCCTACTATGAAATCTGAAACGCACATCTTCAATCTCCACTTGAGGGCCTGCGTTTACATTTCAAGACCATTCATGTGAGCCTAAGTTATATGGAACACCTTATAGACCAATAAGAAGGTATGTAGACGATTCCTTATTAAATAATTCAACAATTTGAGCACATTTTTACTCTCCTATTGGTCAAGAGGCAGCGTTTCGTGCAACCACTGTCTTCCGCCAGTCTCTGAAAAGTCAGATGCAGCATGGTCGATTCCATCGAGCACCCATTTGGTGGTGAGAAGACCCTCGACTCCAACAGGACCTCTGGCGTGAATCCTGGCGGTACTGATGCCTACTTCCGCTCCCAGACCGAAACGGAAACCGTCCGCAAATCGGGAACTGGCATTGTGGAAGACGCATGCGCTGTCGACCTTCGCTTGGAACGCCTTGGCTGCGTCTCCTGCAAAATCAAGAGTCTCGTTAATAACGTTCAGTCAAGTCAATGTCGGCTGTCAAAGCCCCTAGACGCCCAAATCTATTATTTTTTTGAATAAAATGATATGCACCCCCCCCTATTACCCATTTCAACAATGACTACCGTAAAGTTTACACCCTTTATATTAAAAAATAAAAATTGAACGCATTTTAAGAAAGATTCGCGCTGTTGCTTGTATTGAATAAAATTGTAATAAGACGCTTGGGAACTTCTTGATGCAACTCATTTTTTTTTTCTCGAAAACTATGCGAGATGGCCTGTTTTTATAGGAGATAAAAAAGAAGTAAAAAAGTAAATCATGGCAAAAAATTCTGCTATAATTTGTGTAGGAGTGGGAGTAGTTTTCACACGCTTGTCGGTTCTCTGAGAGTTTTTCGTAACAGTAAAATATCAGAACATCTAGCAAAACATATGTGTTAAAAATTTCATTCAAATCAAACTTGACATATTTTGAGTTTAAAAATACGTGATGATACGTTTGAGATGGAAAACAAACCTTTGGCCGCACTTTTGCGAGAAATTTTGAAAATTCAAATTGTTTTACGAGCCCACATCATTTTTAAACTTCTATCCATTATCAAGAGAAGCCTTCTTCATCTAGTTTATTTTGGTGTCTCCGATCAAGTGTTAAATCTTCATACACTAAACTTTCGACAGTAGAATGCTGTGTTTGTATTATACTTACTGTTCTCCGTGCAAATAACATCTGTATGTCCACTTCCAAAAGTGTGAATGTGGTTCACAGCCTCGTCCATACTCTTGACGACTTCAATACAACATTCCAGGGCTCCATATTCGTATTTCATTGTTTTTGCAGGGGGTGGACCTAAAATACATTGCTCTTAATACACTTCGATTTAAACAGTTAGATTTATTAAATCCTGCTTAGGTAGTTAGTACAGCTCGTCCTAGTAGTTATTTACATCGATATACAGGGCGTCCCAGAAGTCGACGTGATTCGATTCGATTTTTTAAAGCCTATAATTTGAAAAGTACACGTCGACTTCTGGGATCCTCTGCATTCTGGAGAGCATAAAACTATAGCCAACAATTGTTGTTTTTTCTCTAGTCGGTTTAAATGTAACTTTATAGCTCAGGGATGAATTTCTTGTTAAGTCAACTGGAATAATAAGCTCCATATTGTGAAAAATAGTAGTGTTTGCGCCATCTGTTTGGCGAGTCTCCTACTAGCCAGAGCTTCACGGCCGATCTCTGCTTTTACGCGAATCACGACCGCACAAACCGCTTGGCGGCGTCTGTGAGGACCGTGGCAGTGACTCACGCTCTAGATCGACGCGAAGTGACCTCCAATATTCTAGATGCCGCTTTGTGGTTCACCAGACCTTTCTCGAAGCAGCAATTGGGACTATATATAACTCGGCGGCCGGGAGATGGAAGCAGAGTACTGAATACGGTAGAGTAGCAGAGCGGAGTGGAGTATAGTGCAGTCAGTGCCGACGTAAGAATTAGTCAGACATAAACAGTGGTGTACATAAATGTTCTATCAAGTTAAATGAATTAGTGCATTTCTTTTTGTGGAATCGAGTGTTTTAATCCACACCCAAAAGAACCCAGAAAAACGCTACAAGGTTAAGTATTTTTGTTTATTTTACCATCCCTGTGGGTTCTATTAATTTACGATCGAACCGAGCTAAAAAAAACAAAAACGATGACTATACTTTAGCGCATATCGCAAATATTTCATTTCTTATTTTAAAATGAAAGACTAGGATATAACTTTATCGAAAAAATCATTTTCAACTGAAAGTTGTTGGTGGTGCTATAGTTATGCTCTCGGGTTTATTTCCATTAATCATTAATACAATTCGGCCTTGAATATTTTCAGTAGAATTAAAAAGCGAACCTCTGGCCTCATTGGATCTGAGTCTCGTTAATTGCCAAGCGTAAATAGTAGTTTATGCATCTGACACACCGAAATATTAAGCGCCAATCATTCATCATAATTTTCATGCTTCTTACTTTCCTCTATTGTTCTACTTTGAACCTTCACTTTGGACACAGTATCTCAAATATTCAAGGCTAAATTGCTCGGAACAATCAATGAACGTGCTATTTATACAAAGCAAAATAAATTCGTAAGCCAATTCTTGTAGTTGCGAAGCACTTAAGCAACACACCGGGTTAGTGAAATTTTGAATTTTAAATATGCACCTTCGGACTGTTGGGGCTTACCAAACGTCAACATTTCATTCAATCTTGGACCAGAGTATATTTTAACGCTTTCTTTCTTCAACATATTGCATACTTCCGAGAAGAAATCGCCCTCCATGAGATCTTGGTGGATGAGCAGGGTTTCCATCGCGTTGCACGCTGCCGGGTAATCACATTTCGAGTCCCTGACGATTTTCAAGGATTTCTGGAGATCGGCGTCTTTGTCTACGTACACGTGGCAAATACCTGCAAAAAGCAAAATGGCGTCAAATAGATTGACTCTCTCTGTGCCTCGGAAACAACTTCTAGTATAATTTTACACGTAGTGCGAAAAGACGTAGTTCTTTTCAGAACTATTAAATATATATATATATACAGGGTGACTTCGAAGTTGAGTCATTTATTTTAACAGTGTGTAGATCTGATCAAAAGAAATGTTTTTTTCCTTTACCATTTTTCTGGTAAAATTAAAGTAACAAAGTTATAGCCCTTTGGAAGTTTGAGTACCGCCCTGTCTCTATAATATCATGTGTTCGTGTTTGGCAACAACGGTTCATCGCATCGGAAACAAAAAAGCGAAAGAATTTGGAACGATGTTTTTACGATTACAATTCAGTTCAGTTATACATACAGTCAGTTTCAGTCGCGTGTGAATAGTTGTTGTGTTGCATGGCTCAAACGAAATAAAAAATGGCACATGTTTATGCGGATCGGTTTCCCAATCGAGTGCAACCAACCCCTCGTGCCTTTGTTAATGTAGTACAACGGGCTCGTGAATCAGGTGACTTAAGACCTCACAGGGGACCTCACGATCAAATACAGGTCCGCACTGAAATACTTGTCGGGAGGATACTTTATAAAACAAGGTAAAAAATTTTTTTAATTTTTTTTTTATTTTTACACACATATTTTGGTTTATCTTCCTTCTACAATCATTATCTGAAAATTAATGACTCAACTTCGAAGTCACCCTGTATATATATACAGGGTGACTTCGAAGTTGAGTCGTTTATTTTAACAGTGAGTAGATCTGATCAAAAGAAATGTTTTTTTCCTTTAACATTTTTGTGGTAAAATTAAAGTAACAAAGTTATAGCCCTTTAGAAGTTTGAGTACCGCCCTGTCTCAATAATAATATTATGTGCTCGTGTTTGGCGACAACGGATATACTCCGCCTTATCGGTTCATCGCATCGGAAACAAAAAAGCGAAAAAATCTGAAACGTTTATCACGATGTCAGTCAATGTTTCAGTCGGTAACGCGTGAGTGAATAGTGGTGTTTGTTGCGTGGCTCAAACGAAATAAAAAATGGCACATGTTTACGAAAATGCTGAACTTGTGAACTTGTGGACATGATTCTTATTTAATCGAGTGCAACCAACCCCTCGTGCCTTTGTTAATGTACAATCATTATCTGAAAATTAATGACTCAACTTCAAAGTATATATATTGTATATAGCTTGAGACGTGGTCATTGTCGTTTAGACTAGTTAGGTGGAAAAATAAAGCTTCCGCCTTTTGTTGGGTACCTCGACAAAATTCAAGCAAAGAGGACTCTTTATACTTTATTAATCTCTAGCTTTTAATGGACTTCGCCATCTTCATCAGGAGCTGCAATAACATTGAGAAGAAACAGCAACTATTGTGCAAAATGATTATAAATTAACTTACAGTCGTATGTGAGATTGTTGCTAAATGTTATTAACGTTTTGGTTGAGGGAAACACCTAGTGATAGGACACTCTATGAAGTATACAAGTATCAAGTTCTTGATAAAGAAAATGTACCACATTTCCATGAATGACAACTGTATGAATAAGAAGACATTTACTCATATTTGCTAAGCTGCGAAAAGTTGGAGCACGTACATATCTCTCCAAATTTCGACTTTTCACAACCATAAATGGAATCGATTTTTTGGCCTATTCCACCCTTCCCTCCAAAACGTCCATTCCATTCAAATTTGAATAATTGGTTTTTCTCATAATAAAATAATATTTGTTGAACTCGATTGTCCATCTCATCAACAATATAGTTTGTTCAACTACCTCTGGCCTGTTGACCGGTTCTTATTTAACATATCTCGATAAATAACGCCATCTGAAATGATTTGGCAACAGAGCACACACTTTACAAAAATTTTCGTTCCATCCATCGACACTGACACCACCAACCTTCTGTCACCTGTCAAATGTTTCATCCTACTTGTGATCCCGTGCCCACCATCTTGTGCAGCATCAGGTGGTTCAAGACGTAATTTTAACTTTCGTTTTAAATATTTCAATCCATTTTAATTTCACACCAAGCTACTAAGGCATCTATATCACGCTAAACTGCAACACAATCAGCTTCAGACCCAATAATCTTGAATAATTCCAGATCATCCGCAAAGACTGGATTGGATATTGCACAATATCATCAATAAATAAGGTAAGCAATAAAGGACCAATATTTGAACCCTGAGGCACTCCCGATTTAGTGACATATTGGTACGACTTGAAGACATTCTTTGTATAAATATCTTGAAGATAGATTTGGGCCTTTCATTAAGAAAAAAAACGTTCCTCAGATTGCAGCAACGAGCGTGTCGTACACGGTCGCCCCGTTTCTTTGGAACTGTTTGACAGCTGATTATAACTCCTTATACAGCGTGTCCGAAAAGTATGGATACACAAAAATATCTCGGAAGCTAAGGGATCTAGAAACAAATTGGAATACAAAAGTTTTGGGAAATCGAATGACGGTCATTTCAAGGGCAATTTAACAATTTAAATTATGAATTTCTCAACTCACCTTCGGCGTGTCCCATCACAGGAATATGTTTACTTTGTTCCTGAATATTTCTCACCAGATCGCTGGATCCTCTTGGAATAACTAAGTCAATATGCTGTTCCATCGATAAAAGGTCACCGATTTCTTCCCTTGTCGAAATCTGTCAAACGAAAACACATCTTCACTTATTAATTTCAAATGGCTCTATAGAAAAAAGTCTAATGGCGTCAAATCAGGAGATCTAGAAGGCCATTCTATAGGCCCTTTCCGCCATATCTACTTAATAACGTCAAAATGGAGAACTTTAAAAGACCTTTCAAACAAGCGATCACTCGATACTCCTTGTCACTTAAAATTTTTAAGGGAATGCACCTGGGGGGCCAAGGGTGAAAGGGTTTAAGTAGTTTTTGGTTAAAAAGTTGTCCCCCTTTTTTTCTTTCAGTCAGTGGCTTCCGATAACTCCGTGGTGGAAAGTTTTCAAATGAACACCCTGTATAGCTATATCATGTAATGTTCACAGATAAATGTATAACAAACGAAAATGTTGCTTACCAAAGAAATGGCGTTTTTCGCTCCTATGGTGCTTAGTGCTTCCGTAACCAACTCCATCAGAGCCTTGTTGCTATGTGCAGCTTCCTTGCCTCCTTTTAGCAGAAGTCCGTTTCCAGAAGCGATAGCTAGGGCAGCTACTTGGGGTAGAGAATCAGGTCTGGATTCGAAAATCACCATCAAGACACCGATTGGGACTGTGATCTGTTTCAGTTCCAGACCATCTGCCAACCTAAAAATATAAAATAGTAAACTGTCTAAAAGCGGACTCCTGATCTCGTTGGCGCTGGATTCTCCGATATCTCAATGTCTCAAATTACTAATTAAATTTATGTATTAGATATAATGTGTGGTAAAATTAACCAAATTTGGAATTGAACCCTTTTTCTTTACCTTGTTCTTCGTAAAACCCTTCCCACGTTCCTGTGACTAGAATCGGCGATCTGTTTCAATCCGACAGCGAGATTCTTCAACTTGGCTGGAGTCAGAGATAACCTAGAAAGCAACGGCTTGGCCAGTCCTGACCTGGTGGCTTCTTGCAGATCCTTCTGATTCGCATCCAAAATTTCGGCTTGTTTTGAGATCAACAAGTCGGCCAATGTGTGCACCGCGGACGCGCGTTCTTCAGGTGTTGCCGTCGCTAGAATACGACCGCCGATTCTAGCTGGAAAAGAAATCGGATAAGTTGACCTGATTGCAACGTTAAAACAGGATAGATTTATTGGCGAGTGCACTTTGACAGGTTAAAAAGTGTCCCATCAACACATATAGTAACACGAAAATAGTCTTTGCGGAACGTTGGACCGGGGAGCAACGTGCTTTTACTATGCATCAACCGGAGAAAATGTGCGTCGAGTAAGTGATTCGGTCATTGCAAGTCCTCGGCATTCTGGGCGAAAGCATTCCGTTGCTTTGGGAATCCTTAGGTCACCACTGCATGGCATAATGTTGAAAAAAATGTCCTTATAAAATCCAATCGGTCCATGCTTTAAAGGAAAGTGATTACGTATTACGGAAATCTTGTGCTGAACGGATGTTGAATGAGAACGTTGTTTTCAGGTTATGTGAACAAGCAAAATTGTAGATACTGAGCACCAACGAACCCAAAAGAGAAACATCAACAACAGCCACATAGTCCAAAGGTGACCGTTTGGTGCGCCGTATCCTCTAACGGTATTATTGGGCCGTATTTCTTTGAAGATCAATGCATTGACGGTCAATTCCGAGCGATACAAGGACATGATTGTCACTTCTTCTGCTACTGTTAGACCAGAACGTCGGCTTAACAGAAACACATGGTTCCAACAGGATGGGACCACTGCCCATACTCCCGGAGAATCGATGGACACGTTAAAAGCACTTCTTCCTCAAAAAGTTATATCGAAGTTTGGAGATACTCACTGGCCTTCTAGATCACCCGACCTCATGCCATCTGATTATTTTTTGTGAGGTTATCTAAAGTCAAAAGTGTACTCCAATAATCCGCGAACACTGGAGAAGCTTAAAAACGACATTCGACGAGAAATAAACAACATCACTCCGGAACTCTGCAAGATAGTGTATTTGTATGGAATGGTATTTAATAAATAAAACCCGCGGAATTTATGAATATGTTGATTGTAATAAACATTTGTTTTTCATTAAGTTTCTATTTTTTTTTCTTAAATCAAAAGTGAACTCGTTTGCTTTAGTGTATCTTTGAGAAAAATTTCTTCAACTTGGATTTTGAATCTGAAAGTACCAGGTTCAATCTTGTTATAGATACTAACTTGCTGATTTCATACTGTGCAAGAGCTTTTATCTCACAAACTTCAAATTGTAATGATCATGTGTAGGTTAAACTTTTTGTGATCAAATCTATCTACGATCTCGTTTTAGTTACACGAGATTCTATGGTTACTGTCCTCGTACGGTGGTACCGTGGTAAGTGCCCACGAGACAGCGTGGTGCAACCAGAAAGTGGTCGGGGATACCTTACCAATCCGGTTTGTTCACTTGAACGCCGCCAGATGGGGCATCAAGCAGCTTGAAACGACAAGGGAACAGTGGCGTGGAAAGGAGTCGATCCTGAAAGTGTTGTAGACCAATTGGTTAGGTCGGCTCCACGGAATGGAGGAAACGCGGGTTCAAATATCGCCGGCACTCATTATTCTCAAATTATTGCTTACTAAACATACACGCTGTTCCGAAAATCGGATACAGAACATTGTTGTGATAAATTTAATATTAGTGGGTGTTCTTTCTTCTGTCAGTATATATTCAACGATTTCAATTGACTTACCATTTTCCGCTATGACTTCAGTGGGAGTTCCGCCAGCGGTCGATTCGGTGAAGAAAGTACCGACTTTTCTTCCCCCCAAAATCGTCTTAATAGCCTTGTCCAACATGCCGTTGCAAATTACCACAGTTACGCCTCTGTCCAATGCCCAACAAGCTGCATTTACCTATAAAAATTGATGCGTACAGTACTAGTAAACAACCCATAAACAGTATAGCTTGCAACAGATTATACAGGGTGTGCCAACAAAAATAGAAAGTTTTATGAGCAAACTGGAAATTATATAAAAAATCTGTTATTGTGGTAACCTTGTTATGTTACTAGCACATATTTTAAAATTATCTTATTATATACAGGGTGTTCCATAACTTCGTAGCATAGCAAGCATATATTTGCTTGAATAGAATATCCTATAGTCTATTGCATATTTAGATAGAGCTTCTAAAAGCAAGAAGTCTGTTATCATTTTGTCAAATTTGATTCTCCCTGCATATGTATTCATATTTTATAAGTAAAAATAAACGCTAATGAAATCACTTGTTATAAAGTTGTAAAATTTTTAGACAAATCGAGTGGAACCCATTTTCGATATATTTTGTGCGGGGTCCTTTTCACCTGTCCTAGGCGCGTTGGAAACGCGCGGGATCCTCGAGGAAGCAAGTTGCTAAAGATTTGTTTGTCGTATTCTTAATATTTTTCGTCTGATTATTTCATGACCGAAAAACACTGTATCAGTTTTCTTTTGTTAAATTTTTACTTCAATCGTAACTCGTTAACAAATAACAGTAAGGCTCTAAAATTGTATGAAAATATTCCACTTTAATGGAAGGACTGCACAAAAAAGGCACTTTTTGACAAGCAAGATTAATAACATCGTTTTAAGGCAACTCTATAGGCACCAAATAAGAGACATGCGACTTTACTGGTATAAACATATGGTATCCACCCTGTAGGCCAACGAAAATTCATGAATCATGTAATAAATATTATATATTATAGAAAAATACATAAAACTACTGAAAATACATACGCCATAATTAAATTTCAAAGAGAATATGGACTGAAATTTGTGTATACACAGTAGTGTAAACACAATTTGAATATCGTATGCAAACATTGAAACAACAAAAACTGAACGCAAATATTACCCACTGATCTACATAGTAATGGGGAATATTTCCCTAAAAACACAAAAGTAATCCTACAGTTTTTATGCATATTTACCTAATTTAAATAAAGTTAGTACGGGAAAAATCTAAAACTTTGTAACAAGAGATTTCATTTGCGTTTGTTTTCACTTATTAATATATACATGAGCCATCTCCTAAGTGATAAAATGATCTTATACAATTTGTTTTCCTAAATTCGCTACATACTGAAGAGACAGTTAAGAATTGACTTTATATGTATGCACATTCAGCATTTTTGCAAATCGGCAAACTTCATGCTCCTATTTCACAGAAGCTAATCATAGCACTGCTTCGGAACCATGAAATCCTTTGTTCTGGAAGGCGAGAAAAACATCATATTTAATTTATAGACAAATCGACGGTGACCCACAGTCGACAGTCCATAAGAAATTAGACCAAGAAAAAGTCCCTAGTCAAGGTTATGAAGTCTAATCAGAATATCAAGGCTGGTTACAGTGCTGATATCATTAAGTTGTACTGAAGCAGAGTTGCGAAAGTTCCGTGCGAGGTTGCCAAAAGTTCCGAACTTTCATTCGCAAATGATCGCATTCATTTTTTTAATTCTTAATTTTTAGTTTCAAATAGAAAGTATCTCCTGTCGGGGCATCTTTACGGTATTGTCGGAATTTCTTTCAGTCAAAGAAAATGAAGTTATTTAACAAGTTCCGAAAAGTGCATCTGAAGTTTAGTGAAGTTTGTTAAAAATTCTGAAAATAAAGCGTTCTTTCCGAAAATTTCATAAGATTTAGGTTTCTAAAAGGTTCCTATACGGTCCAAAAAGTTCGGCAATTCGGAACTTATTTCGCTGATCGGCAACACTGTACTGAAGGCGGATCACATGTTCCCCTCTCCAGCTCCGAGCTCCGCGTCTCCAGTGTTGCTAGATCGAATGCTACGTTGCCACTATCATCACTTAATTTACGGACCTCATATGTTTTGTATTTCATAGAAAGAATCATTCGTTTGTAACAACGAGACATGAAAATGGAAATTTCACCTGTACCGACTTTCGATTCTTTTTCCATACTCAATGGTATTCCTTTGATCCGAAGTGAATGTAAGCAAGAATTGAGCATCTTGTTCCTATGGAGGTTTGTTGTAAATTCCATCGACGTCTACATCACAATCAGCAATTTCTTACAGTAAATATTAGAAAATGTTTAGAAAAAGTTTTTTAATAATTCCGAAAAGAAACCGTGCTGTCCAAGAGTTTCCTGTAATATGGTTTTAGAAAAAGTTCATACACGATCCAAAAAGTTCGGCAAATCGGAACTTATTCCGCTGGTTGGCAACACTGTACTAAAGGCGGATTACAAGTTGCCCTATCTCTCCTCCAAGCCCAACGCCTGCAGTGTTGCCAGATCGAACGCTACGTTGCCGACAGGTCACTTAACTTACAGACCTGTAAGTTTTGTATTTTGTCCGAAGAGCCATTCGTTTGTGAAAACGAGATATGAAAATAAAAGTTTTATCTCTGAATCGATGCATCCCGTACCAACTTTTGATTTATTTCCATACTCAATGATATTCCTTTGATCCGAAGTGAATGTACGCAAGAATTTCGCGCCTTGTTCCCATGGAGGTTTGTTGTAAATTCAATCGACATCTACACCGAAATCAGCAATTTCTTCCAGTATATATTAGAAAATGAAGTTTCTTTAAAAAATACCGAAAATAAACCGTTCTTTCCAAGAATTTCATAAAATTTATGTATCGAAATAGTTCCTATATGATCCAAAAAGTTCGGCAACTCGGAACTTATTCCGCTGATCGACAACACTGTACTGAAGGCGCATCACATGTTCCCCTGTCCCCCCTCCAAGCTCGGCGCCTCCAGTGTTGCCAGATCGAAAGCTACGTTGCCACTCTCATCACTTAATTTACAGACCTCGTACGTTTTGTATTTCATACGAAGAGTCATTCGTTTGCAAAAACGAGGCATGAAAATGGAAATTATACATTTGAATCCATGCCTACGGTACCGAGTTTCGATTGCTTCCCATACCCAATGGTATTCCTTTGATCCGAAGTGAATATATGCAAGAATTTCGCGCCTTATTCCCATGGAGGTTGTAGATTCCATCGACGTCTACATCAAAATTGTCATCCAGTAAATGAAAGTTTTTTAAAAGAATCCGAAAGTAAACCGTTCTTTTCAAAAAGTTCTTCAGATTTATGTTTCGGAAAAGTTCCTCCACGATCTTAAAAGTTCGGCAATTCGGAACTTATTCCGCTGACCGGCAACACTGTACTAAAGGCGGGGCAGATGTTCTCTCTCTCTCCTCCAAGTCCGGCGCCTCCAGTGCTGCCAGATCGAATGCTACGTTGCCGACTGATCACTTAACTTACAGACCTGTATGTTTTGTATTTCGTGCGAAGAGAAATTTTAGTTTGTAAAAACGAGACATGAAAATGGAAATTTTACCTTTGAATCCATGCCTCCCGTACCGACTTTCGATTTCTTTCCATACTCGATGGTATTCCTTTGATCCGAAGTGAATGTATGCAAGAACTTCGCGCCTTGTTCCCACGGTGGTTTGTTGTAAATCCCGTCGACGTCTGACATCAGAATCAGCAAGTCCGATTGGACTTCGGCGGCCAACATGGCTGCCAAGCTGTCGTTGTCCTTTAGCGATATGCCTTTTTTTCCTCCCTTACCTAAATGCAATACATATAAATTACAATCATTAGAATTTTCTTGGATCATCAATTATTACGAGTGCCATTTTGAGGTAAGAATCTCAGGGTTATTACGTAAAAAACCTATATAATGTCGAAAAACGACAGAATATCAACTTGCTGACTAGATAGGTCTCAAACCATGATAGCTGAAGCATCTTGACGTTTCAAGTTGACATTTCATAGGAAAATCTACATAATCTGACAAAAAATAGACTAGTAATTTGAAACTGAATAATAGAAATCATGAATAAGTGTAAAAAAATATAGACTCGAAATGTGTCTTACTTATTTATGAATGTATGAAAATATACGTTGGTAAAATTTCATGAAATTTTGGTGCTAAATAGAGATACAATATACGATATTTCTTTTGAATCATTGGTTTTATTTAAAAACCTCCCGAGTTATTCCTTATTCAAACTGCATAATCTTTCTTGATTTAATCTTAACTGCAAAACATCCTATAATTTTGTTATCTTTACTTCACGAAAAGCAAATTCAAAGCAATATTTGGCGACACTGTACATACCTCCAATAGGTTCGTCGATCTGGGGTGGCGGCGATACAGCGTCATTGGTGTTGATGATAGGTACGATGTTCAAGGAGATCAATTCGGACAATGTACTGATCAGATTCCTCCTTGTTTCTTCATTGTAAAAGTCAGCTTTGGTGACCAAAACCTGAGCGATTTTGACGCCATATTGCGAGAACATGGCGTCGTATAGTGACATTAGTCCTGATTGGCCTACGGCCGCTGCAGCTCTGGGTTCCACCAAAGTTGGGGCTTCCTAGAATCATTAAAAAAGAAAGCGTGCAAATGTAGTCGCGAAAGAATAAAAGTGATTTTGGGATAAATCTCGTAGGCGAAACGAATGATAATTTCAAAGCCTACCTAGGAAGTTCTGTTTTTTTTTGTTGTACAAAACTCCAATGTAGCGTCTATAAGAACAAATAAAGTTGACGTCATATTGAATTATATATTATTATTTTTGTAAATTACTTTCTTGAATATCTTTAATTATAACGGAGCTATCAGCTTGTCGCACACAAAAAACTCACCCTGTATATCATGTATGCAACGACCACATTGCAACTTTAAAGCCTAGCTGTAAAATTATGCCCTTAGCAGAAAAGTTCCTGTCCATTTATCAACGACCCACTTCTAGGACAGACCGCCTGTTCGTCAAGTGAAAATCGAAAGAGCTTTCGGTAGTTTTAACGATGAAACTCAGAGTGGGAAAACTGATTACTCCCTGGCAGGGACAACAAATTTAAATTCTCGGAGAGGCCGGAGCGTTTGTCAGCCAATTAGCCGAGGAGAAAATGCATTTTGCTCTTAGGTCATTATGGGAAAATCGTCTCTGATGTTTACATTCAGATAAGTTCATGCCCACGAGATAAATCTGCAGTAGACGGCAATTTTTCGATTTCGAGTGGCTTCAGTGACGAGAGGGTTTTAAGCTTCCGATGTAAAACTAAATGGAATTACGGATGGAATATTAGCTCGCCAGCGAAGCGGTAACCTATCTCACGTGTAGAATGTATGGTGCTATTAACGTTAAATTCTATAATTTTTAATTAATACCACCATTTCGGGTGTTATAATTATGATAAGTAAATTATATTGTGACTTATAGCTAGACCATAGAAGTTATTCAGAATGGCATTTGCCTGTTATCGAGCAATCTGAGACAGCTATTATTTTTCTATACAGGGTGTCCCGAAAAATGTGTGCAATATTATACCAGCGGTTTCTAGAGCTCAAAATAGGAAGAACAGTTTATATAAACATAGGTCGACAAACGTCCCCTAAGGGCGCTACGGTTTTTTAAAGCGGTTCCCCTGAAGATGGTTTTTCTTTAATATTTCCGAAACGTATTGAGATAAGGACATACATTTTTGTATTCTAGTTTTTTATGCTGGATTTAAAAATATTAACAATTTTAGACATTTTTGTTTGGAAGCGTATGTAACAGGAACGGACTCAGGTCATTTGAGCCCCAAAATTTTTGTGTGATTCTATTTTTGAAATTCAAACTTGAAGACTCAGGATTTTCTACATGATGATTATGGCGCGAAAATGTTCTCGGTCAAGTTCCATTTTTCTAATGACTTAGTGACACTTTTACCTCAAAAGCGACAAGGAATTTGCACTTTTCACCGGAATAAATCTATTTCTATTCTTTTAAAATTTTCGTTCTTTTATTTTCCAAAACAGGATTATATTTAAAGTTGTTAATGCTCCAAAATAGATAATGGGTGATCCAGACGATTTTATCTAGAAACCAACAAGCTCATTTTTCACTTGTAATAAACAATACCTATCACCAGCTCTTCGACAAAAAGTGAAATCATCATTACTTCAATGACTTGATTACATGATCATGCATTCTTTTACTTTCCTAATCATCTATTTTGTTTTTCTACTTTTTGGTGTACGTTGATTTTAGTTTTATTGTAATATTTTGTTACGAAACATTTAAGTTTCTGAATAATATATAATTATTATTAAAATATCAATGTTGATGTAAAGAAATAAAGACTTCTATTATTATTATATAAATTATTTTGCACTGAACCTGCATGTATCAAATTATTAAAAAGATCGGGCAACATAAATATGTACGACCTTTCCGATTTCGATAACCCCTGCTACGTACGTATTTTGTTGATTTTGTCTACATGTATGTAAACAGTGATAATTATGACCTGTATGTCTGATACAGAAGTCCAGTTGTTAAAAATAGATAATTCACCTATCCATTGATAATTTTATCAACTTTAAAATGGAAAAATATAAAATTTCTTACCCATTTATAGCCCAACAGTCAGGTTCTAGTATGTCGAAAAGTTACCGAAAAATTGTTAAAAATGATGCTATCAATATAGCCTGGGCGATAAACCAGTATTTTAGAATACAAAAAGATGTCAAACTTGGATCCGTTTTAATGTCACAAACTATTGATGAAAAGAAATTACCATTTCTTGACATGTAAAGCCTTTTTCACCAGTATCTGACAGCAAGTTACAGCTGACTGTCTAGCAGCAGTTCAAAATACTCCATATCGACGAGTTACTCTCAATTCTGCTTTTATTTAGAAGAGTTCTTTCGTATACAAGAAAAAACGCTAAACACAAAATGACTGCTAATGATCGTGACTATACGGGGTGCTTATGCACCATAAATTAAACAGACGATTCTTTGAGTAATTTTAAGACAAAAGTTTATATAAACATGGGTCCGAAAATTCTTCATTGTCAAGATACAGGTTGTTGAAATTAAAAAAAATATTTTTCGTAAGTTTCCTAAATAAACTCTACCTCAGTTTGTTGTAATTTGGCGGTGGTATTTATAACATTAAGGAAGTAATTTAGCACTGACTTGATTCAATTTATTTTGTACAGTGGCGTCACGAGCGGGATATGAACGAATATTTGTTACAAAACGTATACGCCACTGATGTTTGTACAATTTTTATTGTGTTTTTGGATTAAGAAAATAGAAATGCAACGTTTTTGTATCTAGAATTTTTTTCGTATTAGTCCATTTAATAGCATATCCTTGGACCACAAGGATTATGGGGAAACGTTTATTTTGAAAGTGTTTTTTTCTATAAATAATACAATACAATACAAAATTGTAATCATATTTGTATAATAAAATTGAAAAATCAGTCTCATCTGTTTATTTAGAGACCTTGTATATGTTAGTTGGTGTCATTGTTAGATAAAGTAAAAACACTGGAGCAACATTTCTTTCATGATTTTTCATTATTCTGTTCTGATAAGGTTAGTTTTGACAGTAGGTACCGCTGAAGTTTTCGAAGCTTACCTCTCTGGTATGGTCTGTAGGTGAGAGCGTTTCTCTCATCGAAAGCGACATGAGCAGTTCTTGAGTCAGTTTCTGTTTGCCGAAAGCCACGGCACCGCTGGTTACCATGATACACTCTCTGCCTTCCAGCTGACATTCTGCTACCTGCAAAATAAAAAAATACACACTCATATGTAGATTCGTAGTTTTGCGTGCCTACAAATTTTGAAGTTCTTGAAAACGCATTCTAAATCCGCATCACAATAAGCGAGTTCGATTGCTCTTTCACAAACATTTGGTATTGTGGAAATATGTAAGAGAACCCTTGATACAGGGTGCCTCAATATTCTGTGGACATAGATGTACCACGTATTTTTAGATTGAAGATGAGACGATTTTACATGACTGCAAAAGCGCTTTGTTTGACCGTCAAAGAACGAATTGAATAAAATACTTGAAATTTAAGATATTTGAATGATCCAACTTTGAAGTTAATGGATCAAGTCAGTAAAACAGGCTCATACAATAGCTCGAAAAAATCGACCATTCTATAAGCGACAGACTTCAACCCGAGATCGAGAGCCCCAGCGCCGAAGCGGAAGCAACCCACAACACCCAATTTTTAAACGTTTCTGATAATGATCAGGAGCCTCTAAAACGTTATAAAATGTTCTGTGATTTTTATTACCGTCGTCAAAGCAGTCACCTTGTGTGAAAATTCCATCAACATTTAATAAGCCGTCAGATAAATATGGTTTTCATTGTATACCCGCCACTGACTAAAACCCTTGCTAATTACGAAAGCATTTGTACTTTTTCCATTTTCTCTCCCTTATATGCCAAAAACCGTGCTGTAATGAGCATATTACGAGTACATCGCTTTTAACTTTCGCCCTATGCTGACATAGTAATGAGCGAATTTTCAGTTTTCAGTTATTCATTTATGCGGAAGTGCAAGTTGATCTAATTAGAACTATTTTTTCCACAGCGCCAGCTAGCTACCTTTTTTTTTTGGAAGAGATATGCAATTGGTATGCATTGAACATTTTTGTTTTTTTTACGCTGAATCTGTAAAGGTCAGCAAACGCTGCATCAAAAAATGGCGCCGTGTAAGTTGACCTTTCACTTCCCACGCTACGCTGTCAAGAGTTCGGAAAGGATAATGTTTGGTACAAGTTAGACCTTCCGAGAAAAAAGTTAACTACGAAAATGTATAAAAAAAATTAAATGATTCCCCCCCTGAGACGAACAGAGACGGATAGAGAAAGACAGAGAAAGACAGACAGAGACGGATAGAGAAAGACAGACAGAGACAGACAGAGACAGACAGAGACAGACAGAGACAGACAGAGACAGACAGAGACAGACAGAGACAGACAGAGACAGACAGAGACAGACAGAGACAGACAGAGACAGACAGAGACAGACAGAAACAGACAGAGACAGACAGAGACAGACAGAGACGGACAGAGACAGTCAGATACAGTCAGAGACAGTCAGAGACAGACAGAGACAGACAGAGACAGACAGAGACAGACAGAGACAGACAGCGACAGACAGAGACAGACCGAGACAGACAAAGACAGACTGATAGAGACTGACAGAGACAGACAGAGTCCTCCGCTGTCGTCAAGGACAAATTGGCCGAATTAGGCTACGAACTGCTACCTCGTCCACCGTATTATCCAGACTTGGCCCCGTGCTACTTCCTTTTGTTTCCAAACTTGAAAAAGTATCTCACCGGGCAGCAATTTGAGACGACTGAGGTGATTTTGTGTACAATTTTTAGTGATTCTCAGTAGCTCCCCTCCCTTGCTACCCCCGCTCTTCAAGTTTTTCCAGTTTTCGGGCAGGCACACTTTTACAGAAAATTATATCCTGCTCATGTGTCACTGGGTTGGAACTCCAAACATTAAACGCTTACAGAAACTAAATCGCATTTTTGCATTAATTTTTAATAATATTTACTAAGTTAGAAATCATTGAGGTTAATGATCTACCTGTTCTACAATCGATGCCAATCTACCTAAAGCTAAACCGTATTCATCTTCTCTTGTGATCACAGCACTTCCTAGTTTAACGACTAGCCTTCTAGCTAGCTTGAGTTGACTCCTATCGGTGAACGTACTAGGCCTCCTGTCGATAAAGCTCTTCTTATCGATGCCAGTCTGAAATAAAAAAAAGTCATTTTCAACTTGCATTTAAGGTAAACAGAACATTGCAGCAGAATACATAAACATTTAAAAATGATCTAAGTTCAACCCTGTAGCTATTACCCATTTATAAAAAAAATCAACCCGACCAAAAATGTGAGTGACAGTGCAAAAATTAAATTTTCATCTGTTTGATCGCTTGTTGCTTATTTATACAGGGTGTTCGAAAATAGGCGGAGATATTTTAGAGTGTGATTTATTGTTAAAAAAAATTTCAATAGACATGGGCCCAGAAATGCAGTTTCCTAGATACACGGTGATAAATAAAAAATTATCAATATGTTAAAAAATATTTGCTAGATTCTGTTGAAATTTGGAGATATTATTTTTTGTATATGCATTGCTAATTCAGCCTTAAATAGATTGAAATCGTTAGGTCCAGAGGCGCCCCGGGGTACCTTGGCGAATATTATTGGCAAAAAATGTACGACACTGCCCGTTTTGTAGCTTTAATATTCGTTGTTTGATTAAGCATCTAAAAAATACAACTTCATTGCCTTTTGTATTCTATTCGTATCTCACTTCGTTTTCGAGAAAAAAAATAAAAACCGTTTTATTGCATTTCACTGGACAAAATTGGTTTATTAATTTTTGCTAAAAAAATCACAAGTGTCTTGGAAACCAAAAAATCACTTCTGCATGGAGGTTTGACATTTGCGCATCGGTTCTTCTGAAAAACAATTATTTAAGTAATTTTCTGTGCTTAAAGTAACTGTTATGCAGCGATGCTCCTGTATATTGAAGCGTTTTCCCATCGGCAACTTCCAGATAGTAAATATAACATTCCGTTTTAAAATTTTTTGGCAATTACTTCATTATTAGTAGGTGTGATGAAATCCGTATAATCTCCAATTTATAATTACTACAAAACTGAACCGATTTTCAAAATTGCAATACTGTCAAGGTTTCAAAGAAGCTTGGATATAACAATATCACGTTTCCAAAAATTTAAAATCATACAATATGTTAGAAATAGTTCTTATTCAAATTTTTCAAACTACGTTTTCATGACATTTTTTATGAGCCTCCACCTCCGATTCTGGAGAAATGATCAGCTTTTTGTCCGGTGACCCAGAGTTTGACCTCTTCCATTCAAAAAAGCCGTGCCATTCATAACCTAGGGGATATTAAGATCGCCGAAAATTAAGATAAAATTCAAGGCCAAAAGTCGATTTTGATTGATCTAAAAATCTAACTTCTGGTAAACAGATAGGAACCCGTACTTTGCTTTCGACGTTATTATGGATGTTTCGAAAGCCGATGTAAATAATTCGTAAATAACACGCAAAAAAGTACGGATACAAGTATGTGCACTTTGAATTTGAACACTGTTATCAGTGTATTTTGGAACTGAATTAGGTAAAATTCGATATGAAAGGCAATAGATCAGATGGGTTACGATAAAAAGCTATAGTCTAGTCATCATTCGTATTAGAAGTATGGTTTGTCGTTCACTGTCCCTATTTTATTTTCAAATCTAATCTCAATTTCAAATAACAATATACATATACAGGTGTGTCTACGTACGTTACGTATCTTTTTTTGGTGTAGATACATTCTTGAAAGAATTATCGCGATGAAAAAGATACTACTAGTGATAATATTCGAACTTACAAGTCCTTGCATCTCATATTTGTCCGTTTGTCAGTCTTTGTTTGCCGGATATCAATGCGACATACGTACTGAGTCAATCCACTTGCCGAAATATTCGGAGAACCATCATGGACGGAGTAACACAAATTAAAAGTTATACGAGATGGATTAATGATCATAAAACTCAGAAAAATATATGTGTAGATTAAAACTTTTAAAATAAGCAAGCATAAACTGCAATTCTGGCAATAGATGGCGAGGAAGTATTGTCATAGTGGGACCTTTTGAAAACGAGATATTTTTTTTTGACGTTATACGACTTAGATCAAGCTTAACTTCACTTCAATGGTTATTCCTCGTCGACTGAATATACAGTGGACCCCGATAATCCGGCCACTGTCTAATCCGGCGCCCCCTGTAATCCGACATGTCTTTGAATATGTATTACATACATACGTGTTGGACAATCTTCGCTAATGTAGGTCACGCAGGTTTGAACAGGTTACAACTTGTACGCGCCACCGCGATCGTGCTCGACGCGTAAGTATTGTTTTACTTAGTTTGAATTTGACTACTGCTGATAGCGGTACGGCCTAGCGTGCGTTCATTGTTTACTATTTATCCATCGTGTATTAAGTATTGTACCTGGTAATGTCATCACAAACTCAGAAGCGAAAGCACAAAACATTGACAATTAAAGAAAAATGTGATATTTTAGACCGCTTAAATCGCAATGAAACTTTCATTAGTTTAGCAAGCGAATATGGCTACAATTTATGACGTTAAAAGAAACCAAGATTAAGAAATTCGTGTCTACTACTGACTGCGGGTCAGGCAAGAGACAGACACTCAAGAAAGCTGAACATCCAGAAGTGGAAGAAGTTTTGTACATGTGGTTTCTTCGGGAAAGAAATAGGCATGCACCAATTTCAGGGCCCATGTTGGCCATGAAAGCTAAGTTTTTGTATAAGGAAATAACAAAAAAAGATGATTTTGTGGCCAGCAAAGGATGGCTAGAACGTTTTAAAAGTCGTCATGGCATACGTTTAATGACTATTACAGGAGAGAAACTTTCTAACGATGCCACCTACATAGAGCCCTTTAAATTAAGATTTCTGCAAAAGGTGAACGATTTAAATCTTGACCCGTCACAGATGTATAATGCAGACGAATCAGGGCTTTTTTGGCGTGTGATGCCTAACAAAACTTTCGTTTCTTGTAACGAAAAATCGGTACCTGGAGTAAAGAGCATGTAACCATACTGCCTGCGGGCACACACGCGCTTAAGATGATGGTCATTGGGAAATCTAATAAACCACGGGCATTCAAAAACATTGATTTACCTGTACACTATTACCGGCAAAAAAGTGCATGGATGACAAAAGACCTTTTCAAAAAGTGGTTTGATGAATGCTTCGTACTTGAAGTTAGAAAATGGTTGAAAGATCATAATTTTCCTCAAAAAGCGTTGTTGCTTCGTGACAACGCTCCCGACCCTCCGTCTGAAGAAGAACTAACAACTGAGGATAAACGCATCACTGCGATGTTTCTTACGCCAAATTGCACTGCACTGATTCAACCAATGGACCAGAATATCATTCAGTTTGTCAAGCAAGACTATAAGAAAAACCTACTTCTGAGAGCCGTATCAAAAGACAACCAATAGAAAAAACTTTAAAAGACTTTAATATGAAAGACTTGGTTTTTGCTCTTTGTCAGTCGTGGAATGCGTTACCGTCATCAACTATTAACTCGTTATGGCCAGATATAATCACCACTCCTAGCAACGTTCCACAAATCAGTGTTACTTCGGAAGTTATAGAACAAGTCGCTACTGAAACACAGAGAAGTCCGCAAGATTTGAAAATCTGGTGCCGTGGAATAGATAAAGAGGAAAATGTTTTTCATGGAATGTCTGACGAAGAGATTATAAAAGAGGTTTCTAATTATACAACAAACAATCAGGAAAATAACGACGACGTGATTGCAACTGCTCCACCAGTCACAGCACAAGACGCAATTAATGCCTTTGAGCTAGGTTTACAATGGGCTGAAGAGAATGGTACATCCTACAACGAACTTTTACTTTTGAGAAGACTGACGGACAAAGCTCTGTTCTCGCGTTATAACAACCTTAAACATAAAAAAAATTGATGAATATTTCCAAGCTTCATAATTTTATAAATTCATTAATGATTTTGATTAATAATTCTTGATTATTTCGGTACATATGTATGTGCATTTATGCTTAATTTTATAATAAAACGTAAGCTCTCTATTGTTATTTAATTTATTAAATTCGACATACATAAACTATGTATGATTTGTACTTCAAAGTACATACTCGTCTCGTACATAACATATATAATCTTACCATTGGATATGTAATTTGTCGGATTACAAGGTACCCTTTTGTAAAAAATTCCGGACTATAGGGGGTGTTAGGCAGTGCTCTATAATCCGACAATTTCGATAGTCCGACATTGCCCTGCATAATGCTTGTCGGATTACCGGAGGTCCACTGTACTCTCGTTTCTCACTGATATCTTTTTATATGTGTAACTTATATGTAAAGTCCAATCTTATACATAACTGTGTTCAGAATCAGAATATTTTTCTTGCTGGACTAAAGGCCAGATTGTCTCTTTAAGTCAACTGTCACACCAACTATTTCAAATATGCACCCAACTCCTCCTAATTTGTAATTATTCATTCGGTTTCATAGATGTCCTTAAATCTCAAAGAATCACTTAAGGATCTCATGAAACACAATCGCAGTTGTTCGATTTTCGCAAAATAATTGAATAATAAAACCTTAATAACGGTACTGTAATTTTGGGACCCTTCCGCTTGCAGTCGTCCTTTCCGTATCGATCAAGTCCATCTCTTTTTCTTTTTACCGGGGGATTTCACTTTAAATTCCGTTGCTTTTTAGCGAATTCCTTGCCGAACAACGTCGGTATCCATTAATTGGATTGAATTTCCAAAGCAACGGGCATATATAAGTTCACCTTCGCAGTATCATCTCGGTTTTCGATGAGAATGGAGAAAGTTTGTCGAGAAATTCAGTATAATCCTCGCATAAAATACGCTGAACATGACGAAATTATCAAGTGCACTTAAAAAGATTATCGCATGATATCGAAATTACTCTTTATAAGATGATTTTAATCTTATCTGTTTCATACCTTTTTTAATAATAATAAATAGTTTGAAAAATCAAAAATACATGCTTTTATAGCTAACCAAACCAAAAAGTAGAAAATGATTTTAGATTACGAAGAGTTTACATTACAATAGTAGATGGTCTAATAATCATTCATAATTAATACAATACAATGGAGTGATGACGCCCGATTCGA